AGTTCGAAAGCTTGTTATTTGCATCTTAGTTATTTAAAACACGGTTATTTTAAAGTAGCTGTTTTTGTACGGCTTCATCTACATGAATCCGTGTTGCAACCATAACCGTTTTTTTTTAATTTATCTACCCCTAAATTAAATGGCTTTTATATTAAAATAAGAATTATTATAAACATGTTGTGTTTTCCTATATCGTTCTAGTTCGCGACTTCGTCCATGTAGGAAAAGTGTTTACGTTATATTATATTAGTATAGTTACACCTAAGATTAAAGTATCGCAGAACTGTTGTGTCGATTGTCGATTGTTTCGCAGCCAATTCAACAGTTTAGTTAGACAACTAAAATCGAGTAGTGTGCTCACCTCCATATAAGCTTACAGGAATCAAAGCGAGACTTCAGTTGCACGATAGTTTAGTTTTTACGGTGCGCAAGTTTAAGGCAGAAATTCAGATGCTGGGATGTTTTGGGTGACCACAATTCCAACTGATGTCAAGTATCAATTTGACAATATGTCACGGCTTGTCAAGTTGTCAAGCAAGTTTGTAACTTGTAAACAAGTAGGTGTAGGATTAACACTAACTGAACAATAAAACAATCTTAGATTGCAAACTTCATTGACAATTCTGTCAAACTATTAGAAGTCACATAACAGTTTGACAGTGGCTAGGACTTTGACAGTTCGTGAATACAAATAATTCAATTAAACATTCAAACGCCTACAGTTTTAGTATCCATTTCTAATTAACAAGGTTAATTAGTTTGACGTTCATTGATTTGTGTTTGTGAAAATTAAATAACTAATAGATTCTAGTGTTAATAGTTTAATTTGACACTTGAAATAAGAACAGTTAGTACATTAGGAAAAGTTTGAGAGTAGTCCCAGTGGTGGAGAAATTAAGGAATAAAAGGTTAGCATGGTATGGGCATGTTATTAGAAGAAAAGAATCGCATGTAACAACAGGGACGTTAGTTATGAATGTGAAGGTACACTGGTAAATACCAAAAGAGATAGATGGATTGCGTGAAAGCTGACATGATCAGGAAGGGAATGATGATTGAGATGTTAGAGTTATTTGGAGGATGAAATCCCAGTGCGCCAACCCTACAGGAGTAGGATAAGGTAGGACAGATGATGAGTAAGATTAGGCTTTGATTTAATTACTAATCGCTGTTTACCCCTTTGGTGTACTGGAATGTGTTATAATACGAGAATATACCTTATCAATATGGAAAAACTGTTTAGAGTGCATAAGACGTTTCGAACAAAAGAATATCATGATTTTATTTCTTGATTACAGAAGTAGAAATAGCTATTAGCGAATTTTTTATACATGTTTTTGATATAAAGGAATTCTAGGTATAAATCTTAAATCTAAACTCGACGAAAACAGGAAAAGCGAATGGAAATCAATAAAGCTCTTTTCATGACTTATTTTTATTGCTGCTTTTTACATAACTGAATATTATTTATTCCGTTCACATAATTCATTTATACGTTTCTGTCCTCGTAATAATTATTTTCTAACTAAAAGTTTTAAAACCATTCTAGCTAATGAAGCTATTCTTTAATATTTTCAACTTATTGCCATCACATACCCTAACTCAGGGCACTAACGGCTGAATACTGAAACGACATTTAAACAATAAACAGTGTCTTAATAAAGCCACCGTTAAACTCCATCTTACAATTATTATAAATGCGAAAGTTTAGATGGATGGATGTTTGTTAGAGTTTGTAGCCTAAACTGCTGAACGGATCTCGATGAAATTTGGCATAGACGTAGAAGAAACTCTGAAAGAACACATAGGCTACTCACTTTTGTTTTTTTTAATTCCTTACGAACGGTGTCACGGGCGACAGCTAGTATATCAAAAATGTTGATTTATGTCAGACTGTAAATGGCATTTAGTTTTAAAATATACTTAGATGCAATAAGTATGAGGAGTACATGTTGTTAAAGCCTTAGCCTATTATCAGCATTTGTCTGTTCACTACTAGACTCATGTCTAGCATTAGATGATGATGGTTGTAAAATTAATACTCGTAGTTTTGATTTGGTATTCCAGTCTCTTAATAGGGAGTTGACGAGACAATAAAATGTTCATGCTAATCTTTGCTGTCTTGTGTTTTTGAGATCTGATAATTATATTATTACTGAGATATTGGTAAATTTTCAATGTCTTTTTAAAACAGAGCGTAGGCGTGTAATATTTTGATCTTATAAAATTTAAGTAAATTTATTTAGGTAATTTCTTATCATTCAATTTGAACTCGGGTTTATAAATATAAAAAACATTGCTATAAAAATTAAAAGCATTTCTTCCTTTCATATTAATGAAATTTTGATGACCACTCTCCCTTATTTATAAAAACAAAAAATCTGAACATTTTAGTCTAAATTATTTCAAACGAAAATTTCGTTCTCATTATTATTTTGTACTAGCTTTCGCCCGCGACTCCGTCCGCATGGTATTAAAAAAAACAAAACCAAGTAGCCTATGTGTTCTTCCAGACTATCCTCTACATGTATGCCAAATTTCATTGCGATCGGTTCAGCAGTTTAGGCTACAAACTCTAACAAACATCCATCCATTCATCCATCTATCCATCCATCTAAACTTTCGCATTTATAATATTAGTAAGATTAAACGTAACGTAATCATTTCTATTCCACTGAATTGATAGAGACTCGGGTGCATCCGGGAAATGAATCTAAAATTCAATGAATTTCGAATAGGTTTAATTTGCGCGTATTGTGTTAGATTGAATTTATTATTACACGATGGATAATAACTAATTCAGTGTGAAGGAAAATGTCTATTAAAATCATTTAAAATATTGATGAACATTTTAATATTACAATTAATATGTGAAGGAAAATTTTCGATATAAAATATTTATTTCGTTAAAAATTTACGTTCTGTTATTAATTTTGTTTAATTGTATTATTTACTAGTTCTCGTGTGCATCCGCATGAGAATATAAAAACTTTATTTTATTGTTTGTCAAAATTAAAGTTACTAAATAACCTTGCTTCCTTAATGTTGGTAGTTTGTAGTTTATGGTCCCTTTCCCACATCAAGGGTTTTTTCTAATTTATCTACTAAGTTTAATAGCGTGAAAATATATAGCCTAAAGCGTGTCGTATGTGTAGGACTTTTTATTACAGAATATATTAAAAACATGTTGTAATTGTTGACATCCAACGCCATGTAGTAGTGTGTGTTAACGCTTTATTATATTGGTATAGATATACTCGTAGATGTTATAAATTTTTAAATTCTGGGGTTAAAGTGTTTACAACCTATACGTAAGTTATGGCCCTAAAACACGATTTTAATTCGTGTTTTAGGTATTTTTTTATATTATAAGTGGCAAACGAGCAAGCTCCCACCTGAATCCACCGAAATGGAAAGCGACCGCTGCCTATAAACATCCGCAATTACAGATGCGTTGCCTACCCTTAATTGGCAGAGGGGGAGACGTACATAAAGAGGATATTTCCCCTTCCTATGCGTCTCCTCCACCGTCACATCTACTTTTCCTTCCCATCCTTTCCTCTTAAGTAAAGGGTGGAAAGGAAAAGGGACTAAAATTAAGCCTCCGGCACCACACTCATTAGACGAAACGCGGAATTGCTTCCACTTCACGCCTGTACTTTGTGGTCGTGGTATTACACCGGGCGAACCGATCCATTCGTGCAAATATGTCAAAGCGGGCTCTACCACTGTTTTTTAGTTTGGATGGATATTTATAATTTGGTTCTTAGTTTAATCTCATTGTTTATTCAATTCACGTAGTTTAAAGGTAATCCTATTGATGAATTCTCTAGAGCTGAGTTATTTAATTTACTTCTAAGGTTGTGTGATTGACAATTTTAATTAAATTTATTAGACATTTTTACAAGTATTTGTAGATCTTATTTAGAGTTGTGGAAACGTATGCTTGATTATTTCTGTATTTGAGTTTTTTAAACTAATGTGAATAATTACTAATTGATATTATAGTCTTATATAAATTAACCTGAGTTTGATAGTTGATTTTATATGTAATAAATAAAATAAAAATAAAAAAAATAAAAAAAAATAAAAAAATAGTCAATAAAAAATAAAAAAGCCTTTTATTCCATGCCATAGTTTACAAAAGTTTAAAAGAATTGAATGGTACATGTCTAATTATTGTCATTTATATATTTATAGGTATAATTATTTTTGTAATAATATAAAATTATTTTTTAATTACCCTTTCGTTTGAAGCTAACGTAACAGATCTATTTATTTCATCGCAAGTCTGTTACTCAACTTTACTTGGTAATTTTCTTTCTCTAGTTACTTAACTCGTTCTCATGTTATACGACCCAACAATTTTATCCCAGTTAATTGAAACTAAGTAACGAAGCTGTATTTTTAGACGTAACTTTAGAAGTATCGCTAGTTTCAACTTAAATAGCCTTACAGTACATTGAAATGAATCTCGAACTCTTTGCTTCGGCGTCGCTTACAATCTGTCGGATGTTATATTTTAATGAAATTTTGAGTGTAAGAGTGGCGCATCATTTAAGACATGTTTAAATATCGTTTCAGCATTTGGCCGTAAATTACTAACTATTAAGGGCCATTCCCACGAATCCCAATTTACAACAATTGTCTGATAGCAATACAACGTCTAAAATATGTGACGAAATATCGAATTTTGTTACCTTTACTGACAGTATTATTATTAAGCTATTTGAGCATCTATCAGCCAGTGGCAGGACCGGCCCTAAGTATTTCTATTTGTAAGAGATAATTGAATCCATTCTTGTATTTTGAATGATTCTTAAGAAGCAACAGAATATTATTTACTTCTTATCATGAAATCAGATGAAACTCGATCACTTATCGAAAGGTATACGAAAATAACGACGCAACACAAACCAAAACGTATAATTGCGTTTGTGGTTTCCGGTACTACAAATTCTTGTTTCCACAGCACAAACTCATTCGTTTTTCCTTTGCAGATGCAGAGAGCGTGTAACACAATCAAAACATTCAAAGTGACAGTGGTACATCGAATAAAATGAATACGGAGACAATCGATTTCCCTGTAACGTTGGCACTGAATTAATCATGACGTCATATCCGGATCAGTTTAACGACTCAATAGTGAGTGCAGATGACTTCCCGTTGCTGATGCCACGCTGGGGTTACGTGGTATCCGCCTTTGTGCTGTTCCTTATTGGATTCTTTGGATTCTTCTTGAATCTTCTTGTCATTATTTTAATGTATAAGGATCGACAGGTAAATTAAATTATATATAAACATTTTTTTCTTTTACGTTGATCATGTCGGCTGGTAAATTATATTTTTTTATTTCGCTAATATATAAAAACATGTTTTGTTAGAGAATTTAAAGAGTATTTTCGAATTAAATTTTACATTTCATAGAATATATATGTTGGTTTTTAAAATACAAAAAGTGCAAACATAAAAGTGTGTAAACATGTAGAGAATTTTATATTACTCGACTGACTTCTTAGGAATACTTAATCTGTCTGCAAAACACGAAAAGTATTTCGTATTTAACCTTACGTTTTTGATCGTGAACTCTCTGCGGGCACGTCATAGGCTTCCCGGATCGTTACGCTGACACTTGGGTCCCGCCCTTTGTGCTCCAAAGGTTTCCACCCTGAATACTAAATCTGGTATCACTTTATTCAGTATTTTTTAAGACCAACAAGAATTTCTTTCTATCCATCATCATCCTGTTTTTATACCAATTACGTAGGATTGTACCAGACTTCTCTCCTTATTGATCTATGTTCGATCATCACCGTCATCTTTCATGCAGTCCAACCGTCCATTCAAAATAATCAAAATTATTCGAGCTGTTATAACATCATAAAGGCAGCAAATATATGTAGTTATATATTTGCCACAAACAACAACGGTCAACAAAGTCAATCGGTATTAGTTCTCGCGATAGCTACATTTATTGTAACAGCAATAAATTGTGTAAGGTAATAAAATCTTTTCTATTTAAAATACTACCGAAAGCCCTCAAACAGAGCGAACAACTTCATGTTTCAGATGTATCATTATAATCAAATATCGGATTCAAATATCGGATATTAAAAATAATAATTGATCTCGTTTGTTACAGCTGTGGACGCCACTGAACATCATATTGTTCAATTTAGTTTGTTCAGACTTCTCTGTATCGTTGTTAGGGAATCCATTCACACTGATATCAGCATTGTTCCACCGATGGATCTTTGGACGGACTATGTGCGTGTTGTATGGATTTTTCATGGCTCTATTAGGTGAGTATTTAAAAGTCTTATAAGAAATGTTTTGTAAAATTGCATAAATGTAACAATTGCTGTTATCTGCCACAGTTATTGTAACTTTAATGCTCGCTAGACCTGAATGGGAAATGAGTCTTTAAATAGGCATTTGAAATATCACTAAAATCTGATTATTGACAACGATTTATCAGAAAATCTATTTAGAAAAGGTTAAACGGCTGAACGGATTTTGATGAAATTTGGTATAGATGTAGAAGATAGTTAGGAAGAAACATAGGCTACTCACTTTTGTTTTGTAAAATTCCACGCGAACGGAGGCGCGTGCGAAAGCTATTACAATTATTATCACGTTCATACCTTTTTCAGGGATAACCTCAATAACAACATTAACAGTGATCTCATTCGAGCGGTACATAATGGTGACAAGGCCGCTTCGGTCTCGACGACTCAGTCCGAAGGGCGCGGCAGGATTGGTGGTCTTCATATGGGCTTACTCCTTAGCACTTACAACACCACCTTTGATGGGTTGGGGCAGTTACGTCAACGAAGCAGCCAATATTAGGTAAATTGAATTGATAAAAACAATTTTATATCTAACACATCAAATTTTGTTGATGCACGAACAGATTTTGATAAGATTTCAATGAGGTTTTGGCTTATGGTAAAAAAAGCATCAATGTCTTCTAAATATAATAATGTGTGCTCGTTTTATCACACCAAAAAAACAAAAGCTACCTTTTTCCCACAGAAGCCAATTAAATTCTTGACGGGACTGGAATGTAAAATATATCCTTATCTTGTCAAAGAGTATGTAGTCTGCGGAATTTAAATTTAAAGTCTGGACTCTGGAAGAGGTCAACAAAATAAATTTTTGTGCTCAAGATTTACAAATACTTCGTAAATAATAACTCTTCGTAATAAAGAGTTACTAATTATATACTAATATAACAAATAATTGGTTAACAGAGCTTGTACTTTCTCCTCATATTTTAATCAATACTTCCAAGTAAAGTTCTAACACATAAAATGGATATTTGAAAATGAAACAAAGACGCGAAACAAGAATCCGATACATCTCCGTTCATATTTTAGTTTCGTGGAATCAATGTAGCTGTCGAAGATATCTTGTAGCTGACAGTAATCGATTCTTTTGACGTAAAGGTGAAAATATCAACTACAATTATGATTTCAAGTTATGGAATAAAACTAAACTATTACAACTGTTTATCCTCGATATGATTCCTCTAAAGTGGTGCGCACACTACTAGATTTTTAATTATGCAGATAAACAGTTGAATTAGCTGCGAAACAATCGACAATCGCACAACAGTTGTGGGATAGTGTAGCCAAAAGGATGCGCACTTATAATAATTAAATAGCTTGGTTTGTGGATAAAAATGTTTGCGTCTTAAAATTTCAGATGTCTGTTACTTTATCTACAATACTTGTTCTTAATAATTACGTCTAAAATTTCTAATATCTTTTTGTTAACAGTTGCTCGGTGAATTGGCATGAACAGTCGGTCAACACCCTGACGTACATTCTGTTTCTATTCGCGATGGGTCAGATCGTTCCTTTGGCGGTCATTACTTTCAGCTATATTAACATCATAAGGACTTTGAAAAAGGTAATTGTTTTATTAACTATGCACAAAAGATTTTTCTTAGAAATTAGTTAGCGTTTTTTATATCAAAAGTATTGAAACCAGTATAACTAGAGTATGCATTTAAGTTCTTTTAGGGCCTGTCCCACTGCCTGATAGAGGCTCAGATAGCTTAAAAATTATGCCACTGTCAGATGATGATGCAAAGTCCGGTAGTTCCATCGCATAATTTACACGTTGGATTGTTATCAGCCAGTCCTTATTTTTGTACATTCAAAGCCAACACCTATAATGACTCTCTGAACCATTATACACTTCTACCCACATGATTTCTTAATTTCTTTTTACTAAATTGTTTAATTGTATGGTTGAAGTGTTATTTAAAATGTTAAGTGTAACTGTGTTATGGAAGAACGGAGTATCCTGTCACACGTATTTTATACTTAAAAGGATGCTCCAACAACTGTTTAAAACTTTTGTTAATCTATTTTTCAAATATACGAATTTATTATTTATTTATTTATTTATTTAGATTTTGTAGAACATGTGCTTAGAACCTAGAGTTAGTAGCACATTTATAGATGTTTTTCCAATTGCTAGAACTCTCAACGTCTGGGCCGCGTCAGTCGCGCAGAGTCCCGGGCCACTGCGATGGTGTTTGTTATGATCGTGGCGTTCACAGTCGCGTGGACACCGTACTCGTTATTTGCCTTGTTGGAACAATTCGCCACTGAAGGGATCGTGAGTAATGATTTATCTATTTGGCAAACGACCAACTTGAACATAACTTGAAGATGTAATGGTAGTGATAATAGAGATATGAAAAATGATCACTAACTTAACGTATTATTCATAAAGTTTATCACACGAGGAAACATAGACATCTTATTAAAACGTTACGTTAAAAACAATTTGGTAAAAGAAAGAATGGATGACGTAAGTAGTGAATTATTAGAGAATAACAAACTGTTTTGTAACATTTGCATTTTCAGCAGAAGATTTCAAACACTTTATATTTTTTAAAATTAGTTTTAAATTATGTAGGAAAATTTCAGTAGTTAAGTAATTTTATTACAGATATCTCCGGGCGCAGGTGTTATTCCAGCTCTGATCGCAAAAAGTTCAATTTGTTACGATCCGCTTATTTATGTTGGAATGAATACCCAGGTTAGTACAGTTTTTGACATTTTTCTTGTCCTAATTTTTAACATGAAGTAGTAGTGTTATATGGGGTATCTTTTTAATTATAATTCTATTTTTAAAGTTCTTTGACTTCGTCCGAGTGGAATCCAAAAAAAACAAAAGTAAGTAGTCTATGTCTTCTTCCAGATTATGCTCTACGATTATGCCAAATTTGCTCGGAATCCTTTTAGTAGTTTAGCCTACAAACTTTAACATGCATCATCATCTTTCTCTTTATCCTTCTCCCGTAGGGTCGGCGCAATAGGTTTTTGACCTCCACATAACTCTATCATACGTAATCTCAGTCAACGCTCTTTTGATCATGTTACCTTTCACGCAATCCATCCATCTCTTTCTACGTCTACCTCTTCCGTATGTACCCTTCCACACTCACAACTAACGTTCTCCTTGTAACACGCGATTCATACCTCCTCATAACATGCCCATACCATAACAAACTCTAAGGTACATCCATCCATTTAATCAAAGTTTCGTATTTATAATATTAGTAAGATTGACTCCCTTATTTCCAGTTTCGACAATCAATTAGAAGATATTTTAGTGCGCACGGCAGAGGAAATTCTCAAATAAAGAAACCATGCCACAATACAATATTAACACAAAAACTCTCAGCCGTCAATGAAATAACTATTCGATACAATACATCTGAATCGAATTTGTTAAGTTCACCTCAGAGAAGTGTGAAAAGTAAAGTCATATCTGACAATCGCAATGATGCTACGAGAAGTGATATCAATAATAGAAGCTATTCGAAAATTCTCGAACTACCGACAATTCCGGAAAACAAAACACCATCGGACACTGATAAATCTGGCGAAACAGTATGTGATGATGACACCAGCACAGGTCAAACTAAAGTAGACAATTTTGTGGAACCTTGTAAACTAGCAGACCATTCTTTAATTCTAACTATAGTTGATTCTGAAGGATTCTTTCTCACTCAAGCAGTCAAACGGAATAATAACATCGAAGATCTATGGAAGATATGGAGTATCGACGGTTTAGAAATACATTCAACTGACGCGTTAAGATTAGATGATAAAATACAAATAACAAGAACATTGCAAACTATGAAGCATAGTTACTCATTGGATCTTAGCTGTGTGCAGGAAAAAGGTCGCATATTTTCAGTAAAAACGAAAAAAGAATCTTACATTCCGGATAAAAGTTTACGTATGGATGTGATCGATCCCAGATGTTTAAATCCAGATTCAAATGAGCCTAGTTTAAGGAATTGTGTTTGTTTAAATGATAAATGCATCGACGACATTAGTTTGTAATTATAGTCCCAAGTTTGAGTGAAATTTGAACTGAAGTTTTATCTAGATTTTTATGATCCGATCCCAGATTTAGGATTATCTGATGGTGCTGCTTAAATAAACGTTACGATACACTAAGTATTTATACCTTGAAGCACAAGTTAATTGTTATAAGTAAGATTAGTGTTGATGAATAGGTGTAAAAAATGAAAATCAAAATCCTGGGTGTTAGTAGACCTTCGTTGCAGGAACATGACATTTTTCTAATAAAAACTATACCAACACGCAATAAGGATTCTTTGTGATGTTTCGTGTACTATCGAAATAATAAATTGTAAATTGTCTGATAACTCGAACGTGTAAAATATGTGATAGAAATATCGGAGTTTGTTCCTTTATCTGACAGTGACGTCATTTTTAAGCTATCTCAGCCTTTATCAGCCAGTGATGGGACAGTCCATAATCAAGGACATCATCAAGGAACTGTGATAGGCGGCTTATGCCCTTGTTACTGTGTAGATAAATTAATATATTTGTAAAGAAAAACGAATTTAAAGACTTCAAGAAAGGAAACATTCGTAATAACTATGATTAGTTTAATTTTAAATAGTATTTGTTATTAGTCAAAGTACTAAATAAACGGAAAGGTTTCTATAAAGCGATGTTACGCGGTGTAACACGACATTTGCATTTTATTACTCGTTGCAATATAATAATATCTTCTGACTTTAAATGTACCGTGTAAAATTTTTATTACACCGCGTAGCTTTAGTCAGCGCCACGGTTTTCGTGTCGGAGGCTTAATTATATCCTTTTCCATCCTTTTCGTATAAGGAAAGGATGGGAATGGAAAGTGAATTGGAAGGTCGAGGCGTCTCCTCCGTCGCAACGCAACGTAACGCATCTGCAATTGCGGATGTCTGAGCAGCGGTCACTTCGCTTTTTCGGCGGATTCGGGTGGCCGCTTGCTCGTTTGCCACCTTATGTTATAAAAAAGTTCTTGGTATTGACCGATGTTACGATGTGAAATTTGCATCGAGTGGGTTATCACTCGATGGTTACTCCGTAACACTATCTTTTGACTCAATGCTCGCTGTGTCACGTGTTACGTTACACGGTAACGTCGGTCATTAAGCACCTAGATTAATAAATTATAGCAAAAGTGTTACACATATCCGTGATATATTTTTATAAACGATTAGGTATGTAAGTTATTTTAATATAAGCGTACGTTAATAATAATTAGGTTAACTAAATGTTAATGCCTCACTCAGAGTACGTTCACTCCCATATAGATTTACTATTAAATTATTTTGAGTGCGGCATTTTAATAACTATGTAAATAATTTTTAAATACATAAGTATTAAAAAATATTTTATTTTTGAAATCACCACAAAATAAAAAATAGATTCTAATAAAATTATTCGTTAAAATTTTAAAACATTTGAAAACTATTACTGAAACTACTTATTATTTATGAATATGCAATAGTTTTAAAAACATCATTGTTAATACAATTGTTTAAAATATTATTTCTTAAGGATATTGTCCTTAAATTATTAAATACTAATGTAAAATAGATAAGTTTATAAATATTATGTATATAGGTTTAAGTTTAATAAAGTAATTTCCAGTTTTCTTGTTATTTAACCTTCGACCACATATTTTGTTGAATTAATCCGATTAGGCGAGTCACCCGTACTCAGATAATTCTGTTCCTAATTGTTGGTTGCCAATCATCTAATTAAACTTATTGCAAGTTTCATCCGCAAGGAATTAAAAAAGTAAGTATCCTGTGTACTTCCAGACTATGCTCTATATCTATACTAATATAATATAGCGTAAACACACACAACTTTGTGGCGTAAGATGTCAGCAATCATAGTATATTTTTGAATAATACTTTCTTTTATAAAAAGCCTTATACTAACGACACGCTTAAGGCTTTTTTCACGCTATTAAACTTATTAAACTTAAAGTGGGAAAGGGGCCATAGCTACAAACTGCCAACACCATGGAAGTAAGACTGTCATAATTTGTCATCATGTCATGTCATTTTGACATTTGCAATTGAGAATTTGACAATTGTACAATATTTTTTCTATATTTTCATGCAGATTAAGCTGCATGGGAACAGCTAGTATATGCTAAATTTCATCGAGATATGTTCAGCAATTTAGGCTGCAAACTCTAACATACATCCATCTAAACTTTCGCATTTGTAATATTAGTTAAATTAATATTAGTAAAGTTATTTAAATTTGACTTCACGTACAAGATAATCATCATCACCAATACAATTAGGGGTGACTAGGCCATAGTCAACCACGCTATTCCACTGCGGGTTGGTTGACTTCTTTGAATTTCTTCACAAGCATGCATCACAACGTTTTCCTTCAAAAAATAACGTCGGATATTATATTAGAAAATAATACGATAAAATTTATGCATATTTATCATAATTTTTCGATAATAAACATCTGGAAGTCATAAATCCTTTATTTCTGCTTCGGAATGACATTCCGCCCATGAATATTTTATTAACAAGAAAAAAATATTCGAAAGGCTACGAAAAAATATCGTAATACTGTTATTTATTTGGTAAACGCGGAAACGATCTTTTCCCTTCCACTCGATTTATACGATGTTTTTAGTTTATGTAAAAATTTTCTTATGGTAAATAGCTTGATTCGAATCTAAGCTGAGTAAAAAGTAATTTTAGAACGTTCATAATTTTAAGATCGCTACATGCGCTCAGTTCTGACAGTTTTAACTGAACATTTGAACTGTTTTAGTTCAAACTGAGAATGTGAAGGTAAATTTTTAACTGTACAGTTCTACTGATAGTTAAACGAGTCTAAATAGAGAACATTCATAATTTTATTTAAAGTATTACATATTGCTTTGTTGATTTAACCATATTTTTAAATCAACGGAGTACTATAGCATATATTTAGCAGCATAGCTTATGTATGAAGGTTTATCATTTCTGTTTTTTTTTTCATACTTCGGATATAAATTACAATTTTACTGCTATAATGAATGACTAAATTTGGAGGGATGGATGTATGGATGTTTGTTAGAGTTTATTGCCTAAACTGCTGAATGGAACTCGAAGAAATTTGGGATAGATATAGAGGATAGTATGGAAGAACACAGAAGAGTCGTAGGCGACAGGTAGTTAATAAAATAAATATTTACTGAATACAAGAAACCTTTACCTCAAGGGCGACAAGGTCTTTTATAATTATGAAATATATGGATAGCAGTTCGAGTATTATTTCCCGATGATAATATCCATACTTTTAAACTCTAATAATGTCTTTCGTAACAATCCTTAATTCCTTGTTGAATTATTTGTTTGTCCTTTTCATGATTTCTGGTGAGTATATCAAATTTATTGGATAACTTTTCTTCGTTTATTATAATAGCATATTATGTGGAAATGTAACATCATTCTTTCACAAAATAGACTAATATAACTATCGTTGTCATTATTACATTAGTAAAGAAACTTTCAGAAGTAGTTTAGATATATTTTCTTATAGGAAATACAAAACTGAGGAAGAATTCTATGGAGCCTTAGAGCGGAGAAATTCGTGTTACGAATGTCTATGGGCGTCGATGATTTCAGTGTTCCCGCCTTTCCCCTTTCACTTATTAAAAACTTTTTCGAGATCTTTTCTTTTGTATATAAATTGATGGAATTTTCTAGACTTGAATGGATTAACTTTGCAGTTAATTTTGTTTCGTGATTAACTTTCAAATTGTGTATCTTACTAATCTTACTTCTTACTAATTCTATAAATTAGAGAGTTTAGATAGATGGGCGTTATTAGAGTTTTGTTTTAAATTTGGTATAGATGTATTGGATAGTCTGGAAGAACACATAGGCTATTGTTGTTGTTGTTTTTTTAATTAAATTAAATTTTGACAGACGGAGTCGCGGGCGAAATCTAATATATATTATGTTATACGAGAATATGGTGTAAGTTATTTAATAACAAACAACGGTCTGTATGATATAACTACACGACACCCGAAACTCCAAAAAGCACTAGAAACTCGTATAAAAGCCACTTCGAAACTATGTCAATTATTTCAACGTTTTCGACAATTCCATGAACGTGTGCCTAATTTATATGACCCTCTATTTGAAATTTGTGACTATGAAAGATATAATGGTAATTTAATAATAATATATTTTTTTTTAAAACATTTCTTAACTTGGTTAATAAAGGTTTTGTTTTACTTAGACATAGATATTTTAGGACGTTTAGATGAATAATAATGTATCACAGAAGGAGAGACGCGATAAAATTTGTGAGCTGTGCTGTGTCTGTGTCCACATATATACCAAATTTCATCGAAACCCGTTCAGCCGTTTAGGCTACAAACTCTAACAAACATCCATCCATCGATCTAAACTTTCACATTTTTTTTAAATTAGTGACAAAGTAAGAATAAAAAAAATATTATTACAATCTTACATAAGATGTCCATTGTCCAATAAAAAAAAAACAATTAATGTAGAACACGAAACAATACGCAATAACAAGAAAAAACTTATCCTGGACATAAAATGTTAAGGGGCGCATAAAATATGCCGCATCTGGTTTTGATAGCGTCGCGAAACATTTTGTACTAACGAGCGCGGAATTTTGATAACATCTACGGATTTAGTCCAAGAGCCAACGATAGACAGACTTGTATATACTAATATTATACAGAGGAAATATTTGTATTTTTGTATGTATTGATATAATTCAAAAACTATTGGGCCGATTTTAATAATTATTTTAACACTACAAAGGTAATTTATCTGCGAGTAACATAGACTACATTTTATTCATGCGGACGATGTCGCGAGCAACAGCTAGTTATTTTATAACGGAGTAGTTTTTTCTCGATGTCCTCTAGGCTATCATTTCTAAATAAGGACATATCTATTTGAAGATATCAGTGGTTTTATGCAAATGTGTTTATTATGCCTTCAGGACTTTGTAATGTGTACAGTGTGTACAGCTTGTGTTCCATGACAATATATTTGTCATTAAAACTTACGCAATGTTAAGCAAATTAATTAAGGATAGATAGTTAGATTATCGTGTAATAAAAGAAAGATGGCGCCTTCCTGTCTCTAACCGACATTAGCAACTCGATCTGGTTTTTACGACATCAATTACGTTGGGTTTATTTTTGTGGTTTTAGTGAAGAAGTTTGTTTGTACTGATATTAGTATTTCATCGTACTACTAGATTTCGCCTGCGACTCCGCCTGCATGCAATTAAAAAAAGTGAGTAGCCTATGTAGACACACCCAGGCTACGCACTACTACTTTGCCAAATTTCATCGAAATCCGTCCAGTCTTTTTACAAGGCTACAAACTCTAACAGACATCCATTTAAACTTTCGCATTTATAACGTTAGTAAGATAGTATTCTGTATTTTTATTAACCTATTTCGAACGTGAATTAGATGTATATTTTTTATTTAGTATATTGTATATTCACATCAATCTATTTGTTTCTAACAATGATAACGAAAATTTCAAACAAAACAGAATCGTTTAGATTATTATACCGTTAAGAGTTAATTATCTTCACAAAGGATGGATTTAACAATTCCGTTGATCAGTGATCACGTAAGGCTTTGAGGCTAAAAGTTAACGGTTCAACCGCTGCTTAAATCATAATTAATAGGTGATAAATTGACTTGCCTTAAAGCTGGGGCTACTGCAATATGCTTGATGGTCTAAAAGTACATTTTCATTTTAATTGGAAACTATAATGCGACGTGAAATCGTAATAGGAGTCTTCTCGTCTGTAAAGTTGATAGGAACCGGAGAAATTATACAGAGTTTTCAGTGTTGGAAGAATCTGTAGAAGGTTATGAAAACTGCCTACCATTCTGGGTTAAGGGCATTAATTTTGTTATGCAGCAGAATAGAGAAATAAAACAATACAGAGTTATTTATTTAATTTAATCAAACACACAAAGTTATTTATTTTATAAATTTCATAAAATACAATTCAAAACTTATATCTATTAATTTGGTAATAAAATATTTAGGGCCTGTCCCATCTAATTTTAAATTATCTGATAACAAACCAACATGTAAAATATGCGATGGTAATATCGTATTTAAATACCTTATCTGACAGTGATGTCATTTTGACGTGAGACAGGCCCTTAGAATTGTCTTTAAATTGATACAAAAATGAGATTACTTCAAGTAATTCTTTTTTTATTAATATGGACAATGTATGTCCATAACTTCGAACATAGTAACATTTTTAAAAATCTGTAAGAAATGTTTAAATGAAGCATGAGTGCATACTAATAGAGAAAGGGAAAAAGAGAATTACAGAAATTTCAATTGTTTTATTTACCTTATATAACATGGTCCATGGTTAATGCAAGAATTATACATTTGGGATATGTCTTGATGTATTTATATTTTTAAATATATTTGATAAAAAATATTTGATGTTAATATCAATTGATTTAATTTAGAATATTTTAACATTATACATTAAAATCTGAATTAAAATTTAATTTGAAAATGCAATTTAAGATTTAAGACCAACAAATCTTATTAGAATTAAAAATTATCTAATTTTTGGTAAATCGCAATTTCAACATGTATTCAACGTACATTAAATGTTTTTGTAATACGCATAGATACGTATCGGTCTTCTCAAAAATAATTTACAATATCATTCCCTATACTTCTTCCTTGGCACTTGTATCTTATCACAGATCTAAAGACTATGATAAAAACATCAAAACTTCATCCCTTGATATGCCATTTGATATCACAAATGGCGGCTGTATCAGCTTTGTTCGATATTTCCCGTTAATTATCTTCATTTCCATTATCTTTTTCACACAAATACGATTTGACATTATCCTCTTTGTTACTTTGGTCAAAAAACTTGCTCACTACTGTTCCTAAGAAATTTTTAGGTGCAACAAGCGATTCTAATTTAGTTTCGATTGAAAATTTTCGTATCTTCCCTTCATTTGATACACCACCTAAATCTAAAGAATAGCTATGTTTTATCGTTTTCGGACGTTTCAATTTATGATCAGTGCCATCTATCTTTTTAATTTCAACAAAATGTTCTTCAGATAATTGTTTTTCTAATTCACGTTTAGTTATTTTTGTAAAGAAAAGTTTGTTATTATCTACTATTGTAACAATAGGAGACTGATCGTTCAATTTACAAGACTCTCCAAACATTTCTAGTTTTCTAATACTTGTCTCATCATCAAAATTAGTTTCAATTGATCTTTCCGCATCTGATACGGTATTTTTTTCTTTAATCAAACTTAATTCCGGTAATTTATAAACCTGTTTGTTAGTTTTCTCAATTATTGTGGTAATTTTATCTTCTATGCCATCGCATTTGTTAACCTTTTTAGGCGTTGTCAATAGACTGGTCTCTGGAGAATTATTTCTTAAAGTGCTATCATTAAATGCTGATAATTTATGACTCGGTGACAAAAATGTATTATTATATCCTCTGTCGGTTTCAGAGTTTTTACATTTACTCTGCATACTGAATATACGTTTGATGGACTGACGAAACTGTCAAAAATAATAATTAATTGGTATTAATTTAGATACAACACTACTTACATTATAATTTATTACTAACCTGAGTATTCATCCCGACGTAAATAAGAGGGTCGTAGCAAATAGAGCTCTTAGCCACTAATGCTGGTATAACTCCTGCACCAGGCGATACCTGATAATTTATAAAAAATATAGAATACAACGACCGACGACTTAGTGCGGGCGGTGGAAAGTCGTTGGATGCAGAAGGCGGAGGACCGCATTCAGAAGACATTGGGGAAGGCCTATGTCTAGTAGTGGGCAGACAAAGGGTGATTATGATGATGATAGTGTATAAAGTAACTTATTACTCAAATAAATTTATGATTTCAGTCTGATTTGTGAATAAAAGATTGAAGTGAACTTTACTATTAAATTCTACTTACTATGCCTTCTGTAGCGAATTGTTCCATCAAAGCAAATACAGAATAAGGTGTCCAAGATACAGTGAATGATATTATCATTAACAGGACCATTGCGGTCGCTCGCGCCTCCGCCCGATTCACTCTACCAAGTCGCTGGGAGTTCTGAAACAAACATTTCATCATCATACCTTAAAATTATCATCATCACCAGCTCACTATACGTCCCTACTAAGGGACTCGGAGCCTACACTAACTTAGGGTGACTAGGTCAGCACGCTGGCCCAGTGCGGGATGATTGACTTCACACATATCTTTGAATTTTTTTCACCGACATGTGCAGGTTCCATCACGATGTTTCCCTTCACCGTAAGAACATCAGGTACATTTTGTACATAAAGAAATTCGAAAAATCGAAAATCACATTAGTACGTGGCGGGATTCGAACCCAAGACCTGTAGGTTACAAGTCAAGTGCTTAAACCACTGAGCCACCACCGCTCTTACTTTAAAATAGTATTAAAAAAACAATCGATGCCGTGCTGGTGTAGCGACGTATAAACCTACAAGGAACATATGGCAGTTGGCGATTTTGTGAATTAACAATTTCAATATCTAAAAATCACAATTTTTTCACTAGTAATCTAATTTAACATTATTACAATATTATGTAGATTTCCTTTTCATCAACTGTATGGATTTCCAAAGAATTTCTTTACATAATAAATAAGAGTTTATCCTCATTTTTGACGGCATTACAATCCGACGAGAGAATTCCATGAAATGTGACAAATCTACAATCTGTGTTAAGAGAAACAAATTCAAACAGGGAAAACAAAAGAAAAACAATAACAACTTATTGAATAAACAATGAAAACACATTTCTCGTGGAATTTATAAAGAATTCTATACTGATTTTTTAAATTCTTCTTATATTATACTAATTTTAATACAATCAGCAGCTAATGCTGGCTACTCTCGAGGGGGGTTCATTTTAAAAGGTTTTATAACTATCTTACTTCTCACTAATATTACAAAAAGATAGAAAGTTTTGATAGATGGAGTGATGTTTGTTAAAGTTTGTAGTCAAAACTGCTGAACGGATCTCGATGAAATTTGCTATAGATGCGGAGGATAGTCTGGAAAAACACATAGTTTTTTGTTTTATTTTTTTAATGCCACGCAGACGAAGGCGCGGGCGAAAGCTAAATAAAGCCTATGTTACTTGGGTCTCACTTATTTTGAGTTTTTTTGTTACATATAAATCTTTAGTCTCAGTATATAAATTATTGTAGATAATAAATACCTTTCTCATAGTTCGTATGATATTGACGTAACTGAAGGTGATGATTGCAAAGGGAAGGATCTGTCCCATCGCGAAGAGGAACAGAATGTATGTTAGTGTGTTGAACGATTGTTCGTGCCAGTTCACCGAACAGCTGTTAATACAAAATACACAGAGATATAATAAGCTATCGTTTAATTTAAAAATAATCTTAAGTAATTTAAATGCCTAAAATTCATGTAATATACACGAAAGGAGATGTTTCAACGGTCCACCCACGTAAATTACGCCATCATACAATTTCAGAAGAGACTCTTTATACAGGGTTATTTAATTCCCAGAAAAAAAGTAGCTGATACTGAATCGAAATAATAAAAATATGAAAATTTATACATAACAATTATCCTAAAAAATGATTTTATTATTATAAATTTTATTGTTTGTCGATTCCAATAAATAATAGTGTGCATACTAACAGACTGAAAATGTTTGTAATAATATTTTTAGCCTATTTATTGTTAATTTTTTTTTTTGTAAAAATATTGTGTTTATTATTATTGAATGACACTTAAGAATGAATAATTATTTTATATTACCTAGTAATCAAACGTGTTTAAGCGTTATATATCTACCTGATATTAGCAGCTTCATTCTGATAGTTTCCCCAGCCGAACAGCGGCGGCGTCGTTAGTGCCAAAGCGTACGCCCATATAAAAACAATAGACAGCACAGCGCCCTTTGAAGTAAGATGCCTAGAGCTAAAGGGCTTCGTTACCATCATATAGCGTTCAAAAGATATCACCGTCAGTGTAGTGATAGAGGTAATACCTGAAACAAAGGGTACAGTTCGAATTACAATACTAAATATCAAAGAGAAATCTTCGCTTACATCTATGTAATACTTCAAACCAATACCTAACAACATCGCAATAAAACTGACGTTGTTTTGATAATATAAATGCGAAAGATTGAATGGATGGATAGATATTTGTTAGAGTCTATAGCTAAAAAATGGCTTGGAGGAACAAAGTATGGAAGAGCACATAGGCAACTTACTAAGTTTTTTAATTGCGAGCGGACGGTGTCGCAGGCGAAACTAGTAATATTAGCTTATCACGAAACAAAACATCTGTGTCTGCTTTTTATAATCAATCAAATAAACTAAAAACATTATTAATACTAACCTAATAATGCCATGAAAAATCCATAGAGCACGCATAGAGTATGGCCGAATATCCAGTGATGAAAGAGAGCAGATATCAACGTGAATGGGTTACCCATAAGTGACACGGAGAAATCGGAACAAACTAAATTAAAAAGTATTATATTCAACGGCGTCCAGAGCTGGAATATAAATAACATCTTTATAGTGTTACTAGCTTGTTGGTCGCGACTTCGCCCGCGTTAAATTTAAAAATAATAAAAAAATATCTATATCACTCACAGGTAAATTCTCTTCACTCTTCACTCTTTATAATATTAGTATGGATATACGAGTAGTATTAAAAAAAAGTTATTTTAAAACAAATACAAGCCATCGTTCAACAATAAAATCTAGAAGCTATATTAATTTTTTTTCATCTAACTAATCTATTTTAAGTTCCTCTAAATACCCTCAATTATAAGTAAAAATTGTATTATAAAAAACAAATGAAACATTCTTACCTGCCTATCTTTGAACATAAGCAAAATTACCATAAGATTTAGAAAGAAGCCGAAAAATCCTATAAGAAATAACACGAAAGCGGAGGCCACGTAACCCCATCTAGGCATAAGAAGTGGAAACTCCTCATACGTAGTTCGGATCACTGTGTCGTTAAAATGTTCCAGATTTAACGTCATTTTTACATAATTAATTTTTCACTTTGTAAAAATTACAGCTTCCATATTTCCTTTATGTCCAGTGACTCCATCTGTGAATAAATAAAATACTATAAGAATTGCGAGTGCGTTGACTAAACTACCGCACAACTGTCGTGCGATTGTCGATTGTTTCGCAGCCAATTCGACTTTTCAGTTGCAGAACTAAAAATCGAATAATGTGCGCACTTCTTTAAAAGCTCATAGGAATCAAAACGAGACTGAACAGTTTTGCGATAGTTGAGTTTAAATTTAACCGAAGGGTTGGAAGTGTTTCTAAAACACAATTCACATATTAGTTAGCTTACTATTTGTCAACAATATTCCAAATCATACAAAAATCTGTCTTCAAAAGTTTATTACTTGAAATCTCAAATACCTTTGACTTACTAACTAGTTGATTAGAATTTTATTTTAAACGCATTGTGGGATACATAATTACTTAATTATTTACATTTTAAAATCTCTCATGTCAGATGTAACACAGACGGCGTATACTGAAACGACATTTCAATATGTAAGAGTTAAATTCCGAATTATATTAAAATATTGACGTCTATTAAATACAAGGAAATGGTGTTAAAATTCGTGCCAATATTCGGCCGTGGGATTGTAAATTTTAATTAAAACGGGGAGTAAAATTGAAGCGTAAAATTCTTTCATTTGTTTAATTTTACATTCTCGTTTGTTAATTAATGTTATAATATGATTCCTTTTGTTTCTTTTGTTAAACGACTTCGGCCTCGTTTTGGTCATTAACATGAATGTTTAAAAATAAATAGAATAAATAATAAGAAAGTTACATTAGACTGTTGAAATTTTTCTGAAATTTAAGTTAGTTAATGCAGAATTGTTTAGTTTTTTTTTAGTATATGCGTCCACCAAGGTTCTTCAAAATAGAGAAGCGAACACTGCGCATAGACATCTGCATTAACAGATACGTTGCCTACCTTTTATTACCAGAGAAAGGGACGTAAAGCAAAATATTTGCACTTCCTGCATTTAATTTCCCACTAACTTTCCTCTTTTCCTTGTACGATAAGGTTGGAAATGACTTTAAACCTCGCTTCTACAGTAATTTTATTCTGACAGTACGAAAACTTTAATTTCTTATCTTATCTTACCCATTTTAATACTGTCGTTGTCTTATGTACAGAGACCCTTGGAGCCTACCGTAAGTTATTAACCAGGAAACAGTCACCCACACTAACTTACTACGGGTTGACTTCACACATATCTTTGAATTTCTTAACAGACATGTGCAGATTGCTTCACGATATTCTCCTTTACCGTGAAAACTTATGTTAATTGTACATATAAAATTTGAAAATCATAATGGTATAAAGCGAGGATCGAACCTGGACGGTCATGTTTGAATAATTGCGCCACCGGCGCTCTTACATTATCAAACATTCTTGTTTTAATATCTAAATGATTTTAATATGGTATTTTTTTATTTATTAGTCAAAGAAAAATAAATCCTTTGTAAAGACGAAATTAAATAGAATATGTGATAATTTAAACAATTTACGAGAGAATTTAACAAGTGCGAAACCTTTTAAGCCAAAAAGAGTTCGGTTTTAAAATAATTGAAATGTCAGTCGATGTAAATGTTTTATAAGAAATTTTGATATTAGACACTCAGAGGTAAACATTTTAATACGAAAAGTGGGTTACAAAGTATTCACTTTTTTAGGAAAATTGGGCGAATGGAAAAGTACGATTTTACGTAAAAGTAAATGTTGAAAAGAAGTGTATAAAACTGTTTAAAAAAGGCAATATTTAAAGACCAATCGTTTGTTATCAGAAGAGCTTAGCACAATATTCAAACGGTCACTGTAAAGCCTGCTCCATACTATTGGAGAACTTAACGTGTATAGCTGGCTTTATGGAACTAAATGAAAGGCAAATAAAATGGAAGAGGGAAATGTTTTCTTACCGCCTTTGCTGCACGTTTATTTGAAACTTTCTGATATATTATTGGAATATCGAGGAACTATAAAGCTCAAGACATTTATTTATCTGTACGTGGTATAACTGACAAACACTCCGAAAAAGTACAATTCTTTCTGATTGTTTTCGTAATCAAACTTCATTATTTGCAATACTTTAGCTTTTAATACTAACCTTATCAATTAATAATGATGACGGAAAAAATTAAAAAAATGTAAAACCAATTTTTTTAACGTTCTTGGATTCGAACCCTAACTGCTAGACGCCCCTGATTCTTCATTCATTTATTTTTGACAAGTACCACTATTCAAATAGTAATTTTATACGAAAATGGACTCTAATCCCAACGCAATAAGAACTATATTGGCTCTCTTATCAATTGACAATAAAGTTGAAATTAATCTAACACGACAGTAGACGGTTACTTTAAAATAAAACGTATAAAAGGGTTTAAAAATTATCACCCACTATTTTTTATCTGCCCAACTCTAAATAGTACTTTAAAAAGTTTAAAAAAATATGATTTTTTATTCTACAATTATCTACGTACCATTAAAAAAGTTCATTAATTTTATATAAATTACGTAGATAAGTTTCCACTTCGCGATATATCGGTTTTCGCGATCACAAGTCTCTTCGACCGCATCCAGTGGGATACTGAACTTATAGTCCCGGCACAACCTTTATATAGGAAACCGCTGAACCTGTTGCAATCGCAGATTACGATAAAATTGGACTAGCATTAATAACTTTTAATTGCCTTTTTATAAGCTTCTTTAAGTTTTTAACGAGCTTCGTACTGAAAACCTGGTATTTTGACGACTCGAGAAATTTTTTTTAGGCTATAAAACGATGGTAGTACATTTTTGTGTCTACTAATAATTAAAAATGAAAACAAACAATATTCAAATCTATCTTACTAATCTTACTTCTTACTAATAATATTATAAATGCTAAAGTTTATATGGATGGATGGATGGATGGATGGATAGATGGATGTTTGTTAGCGTTTGTAGCCTAAACGGCTGAACTGATCTCCATGAAATTTGGCACAGGTTTAAAGCATAGTCTGGAAGAACACATAGGCTACTTTTTATCCCGGGAATAGTTACGGTTCCCGTGGGATTTATTAATTCAGTTTTTTAATGTTTACTCGATCATTCTGCAACGGTTCAACATATCTTATTGAAATTTGACACAGATATAAAACAAAGTCTGGAGTACACATGGGATAAGCTTCATCTCTGAGAAATGTCCGGTTCACGAGGGATACGTAGCTTTTTGTAATTTATATAGTTCGTATGTTTTCTAATACCACGCGGACGTAGTCTCTCGAATAGCTCGTATAAAATATTTTAAATGTAACAATGTTTGGTCCCTTAGGTACAATATACAACGCTGTCCATCGAGACACGCTGAAAGCCAGCCTGCTCACGCTGAGCCTGCAACCCATTGTTGTCAATTTAAGTTAACACTGTTACTTGAGACTTCTCCCGCTGAAATTTAAAAAAAAATAAATAAAAAACAATAACAAACAAGACTATTTTACTCATAGATACCTTTCTAACAGAGAAAGAATTTTTAAAATCGGCCTATATTTCAGTTATTTCAATACATACAAAAATCCAAAAATACAAATCTCTACTTTTTTGTATTATAATATTAGTAGAGACATAGATTAGTGCGTAAGAAAGGAGTGGATTCAGATATGACGGCTGATAGAGATGTATGGAAGAGAGGCACCTACTGTATCGACCCTCCATAAGGGATAAGGGCAAGTTGTTGATAGATTAGTGCGTAAGAAACTTATGAGAACAATACAGGCGTTTTATTTTTACTATACGAGGGTGAATCAAAAAATTCTTGGAATCAATATTAAAAAATGCAAAGATTTAAATAATAATATTTTATTTTTCTACATAATCTCCCTCCAATGCAATGCATTTAGAATAACGCGTTTCTAACTTCCTTTTTCCTTGTGAAAAAAAATTATCCAACTTGATTGGATTGGAAATTGGAACTTGATCCAAAAAGGTTTCATATATATGCACTTCTAAGAACTTTTTGATTCACCCTCGTATAAAAAACTACAAAGCTATTTGTAAATTAAAACAACTGTTTTAATATTTCAACCTAACCTCGAATTGTACTACTTTTAGTGGATTCAGTTTCATATTTCATGTTCATAATTTCCACAAATTAAAAAAGTCGTAATAATGTATTGAACTATTTACAACTAGTATTGTACTGTATCTGTGCTTTAAAATAAAGTTTTTTACAAATTCACTTGACTTAGAGAATAACATCTCGTTTCTATGAATTATAATAATAATTTCTTTGTTACTATTATACATAAAATCAAAGTACACGACTTAGCAAGCTCTTCATTATTAACCGATAAGTTAAATAATGGATTTCAAATTCCCTAATAAAAACAACAGAATTACTCAGAACCTTTGCAAAACATTTCGTAAGACAAAAGACTATCAGAGCTGTAAAGATAACGGACAAAGGTTTAATATTGGTATTTAAAATTAGTTACTTGTCTAACCAATGTTATAAATGTGAAAATTCGGATGGATGGATGTTAGAATGTATCTCCAGAAGGGCTATATCTCGATAAAAGTATAGAGGTAGAACAATCTAGAAGAACACAAGGGCTCCTATTTGAGGTTTTTTTTTAATTTATTTGGCGGGTTTGCCGGTGACAGATAGGTAGTTGATAATTTCACACCATTCACATTTTGTTTTATATAATTTTTATAATATCTTTAATATGCCAATTTATACTTAATATAATAAAGCGTAAACACACACTTCTTTGTTGCCTAAGATGTCAGCAATTACAGCATATTTTTTGACTATTTCTCTTATTAATAAAACGCTCTACACTTACGTCACGCTTTGGGCTATATATTTTCACGCATTCAAACCCAGGAGGTAAATAAATTGGTTAAAAACCCTAATGTGGGAAAGGGACCATAAGTTACAAGCTACCAACATCAAGGAAGTAAGATTGCCATGGATTGTCATTACGTCGTCATTTTGACATTTGCAATTGATAATTTGACAAATGTAAACAATAAAATAAAATTTTCATAATTTCATGCGGATGAAGTCGCACGGGAATAGCTAGTGTTATTATAACTCAGCCTACATCCGTATATGACAAACAATAAAGTAATTACTTACAGTTTTAATATGAAGAGTTAATTCCATTATTATTTGTCAAAGTATATTTGCGTGAGACAGATTTTAATTGATGTCACAGATTCTTATTTGACAATTGAGCATGTTTGCGAACATTTAATTAGGACTATTTCTTGTCCGCAAAATCGTCTGCGTGCAATCAAAACCAACTGATTTTATACTCTTGTGTGTCTGACCTTTGGACTGTAATTTAGCTGTACGCGGGAATGTTAGTTTTTTTTTGTTTAATTCAGACAAAGTCGTTAAAATAAAACAAAACCTAGTTAAAATAAATGGGATATCATTTTATATTATAACAGGAAAATCAATTTGGTTTGGGTTTTCTCAATTTATTGAGAAACACAATATTTATTGTTTTTCGTTGTCATCTTTTGCGAAGTAACAAATGAATCTTGTAAAATAAAACGAATTCTATAAATAATGATAGAACATATTTTTTCAGATCGACATCAAAAATATTTTAATATTTATTAACTTGAAAAGAATACAATAAAATAACAAAACGTTCGTCCCTTCACTCAAGAGCACATGTTTTTAAACGTAAAAATAACAAGGCACTAATTGTTAATGAAAACATAATTATATAGATGAGTACCCTTTTCTTGCAAAATAACATAAAAATCTACTGGTTTTTTAGTTTAACAATGAAACTGTAAAAATTAAAAATCTAATATTTTTAATGAAGTAATATAATCCTTTCAAAAGAACTAAAGAAAAAAATAACAATAGTGCGACTTACAAACAGTTTAGAATATAACGAAAGGATTACAAAGAATATAAAAATACTTCTTAAGTAAGAAAAGCTAAGGCACTTCTTCCACTAAAAGATTAATCGCGCAGTATAGCTGTGGGTAACTTTTATTTCTATGTTAGTCGCGTCTGTACTAGAGGAAAAGGACACACAGTTCACAGCTTGAGATTGTAATCATGGATGTAACAAGCCAACGATCTAAGCGAGTTCTAGAGGAGACAGTTATGTAGTATCTTATATATTTATTTTACACTTCTCTAAGCGTGGCAGCTGCCCTATCTTCAACCAAAGACAAAGAAATTTAAAGACTAGACATAGTGAACAACATTTATTCACTGGTAACTTCTTTGAAAGGTACTATGTCAGTTGTAGGTTAGTGGAATCTCTGCCTACATCCCTGGTAAACCCCATGACTGTAATCCTAGTTACAGACATTTTTAATTTACTATAACTACAGCGAATTTTTAACAAATGTCGAAATGTTAGGTCAATTTAAATATTTTAAATCCGTAAGCTTTTAGGGGAGTTATCGTTTGGTAACGAATTTAATCTGCAAAAATCCAATCAGACCGACAAAAGTCTTACGTGGTTGATTCTCTCGTTTGGAAATAAATGTAGGACGTATGATAAATGTCAGCGTATAACCTAACGTTTTTTTTTAAACAAATGACGGATCAAAACCTTTTTTTAATACCAATGATAAAATAACTTATACGATGACAATCGGTTAAGTAGTAGAGGTCATGGAAACTGTTAAATCCTACTCAGCTCCTACTGTTTTGCGTTTCCTCGTGTATGAAAAACTAAGATATCGTCTGCTTGCACGTTTTATATAAATGTAACGATAGCTACGGCTTCGAACGGGTCCAATGATGATACGAAAATACATACCTATATCTATACATATAATAAAATTGGAGTGTCTGTTTGTAATACCTTCAGAAAAATTCCAGATTTAGGGAAGATGACAGCTCGTCATACATATAAACCTTACTCTTTAATTTTCTATTAAAAATACACCAAAATACGTTGCATTATAAAAACCAAAGCATACATAGGAATAGACAACTAGTTTGTTTTATACTATGCAGTGAAAGGTTAATTATACAAATATACGCTGTCAGACACTTAAGTAGCCCATTGGTCCTTCAAAAGTGTTATCCTGGATGATAAGAAAGGTACAACCAGAGTTTACAAGAAAAAGGTTGACATAGCAAATTCATCGTCTATTTTCCATTCCTAAGAGACACATAAGCAATCATACGACCACTTTGACTTTTACTTTCACATCACATGCCTTTGATGAGTTGAAGAAAACATTACAAGAACGCGACTGTCAACTCTCCAGTCTGAAGACATTAAAAGTTTTCACTTTGTTTTACTAGCTCGTTTCCAAGTCCTTTTATATCTTGTTACAGCGAATTTAATTTAGTTATGTTTGCATTTTTAATAATGTTTGGTGTATCTTTGCTAGAATTAGTTTTATCATTATCTTTAGGAGTTTTTAACTGTTAATTTTAAAAATGTTAAAACCACCAAAAATCTTCGTAGTCATGAAATTTTTCTATAGGACATTTTCTTGTAAATTGACTCCGAAATAACGCCATGTTCAATTTGAAGTAATTGATTCTTTGTTAATCATTAGAACCAAAAAGACGATTTCTCTAAGTCCTCAAATCGTTATTCTAATTTTTGTGGGTCGTCACCATCTCAATTATTTTTTATCTAGCACCTTCACCTTTCTATTCTGATGATATTTTATCTATATTTACATCAAGAAGTATGTCAAAATGACAATTTTATAAATTGAAACAGTATTTTTATGTAAACGTATATTTATAAATTATTTGTTATACAATGACTGCTTTGGGAGATCTTCCTGAAGTGATGTCGTTTTTTGGTACCGATCTCAAAACAGGATCGTTGATAATCGCAGCACTTGGCATTGTAAGTACATATAACTATTAAGTGTACAAAAATTAATAAACAAGTACCAGATTACATGATCACAATTTCTATTCCTAGATCTTCAATTATCAATCCAGGTTTATCAATTAAAGTTTCATCAACTTGCCCTTATCCCTTATGGAGGGTCGGCATAGTATGTGCTGCTCTCCCATCTCTATCAGCCGTCATATCTGAATCCACTCCTTTCTTAAGCATATCCTCTTTCACACAATCCATTCATACTTTCTTCGATCTTTCTCTTCCTTTGTAGCCATCCACATTAATTCTTAACACTTTGTGGTATATGTCCCCATCGTCTCGTCGCATAACATGTCCACTGGCGCTACTTTCAAACTTATCAACTAAAGTTTGTAAATAACACAAAACGTCAAGATAAACTTATGCTAAAAATGCTTATGTAGCATACAAAGATATTATCTACAGCTAGATTTATTAAAATAAAAACAACCATACATCATTCTTTAACAATTATCTCACGAGTGTATGAGATTTACCAAAGCCATAACTTTTCAACGTGTAAAATTTGTTGGCCTTACATTTAAGTTTGTCCCAAGGGCTAGTTGCAAAGGATTACACAGTCTCCTAAAGGAATAACTTAAATTTCAACGGAGCAACGAGATAATTGAACGAGAAACCAAAGGGCAGATCTGAATTTTTGAACACCGCAATGAAATAACTTGCGAGTAGGGGATTTCAAACTAAAATATATCAAGAGAAACTGTCACTTTTAAAAAGAAAATTCTATTTTATTGTAATAAAAGTCTTTAAATATTTTATGTAAAACTTAACTTTGTTTTGCTGCTTTACTTCCTAAGAACACACCTATATCAGCGATAATATCTGAATTCATTTCCTTATTACGTTTTCTTTAAATATTCATCTATACTTCAGTTTTCCCCAACCTTTGTAACCGAAGCTATATAATATACATTCGAGAGGTAGAATTAATGTTACATTTTATTATAATTTTCAGGTTCATCCAATGGCATTTGGTTGTTCGTTTTTTATGCCACTGAGCTACTTGCTCGTCACAATTTGGCTGCTCGTTGCCTGCTACTTCGCAGCTAGTGTCTGTTTGTTTTTTGGTCTTAATACGGTATTTATTCTTTTTACATATATTTACCTATTCTTTTAATGCTTTATTTCATACTATTTAAAAATCTAGTTTAATCAATTTTAGTTTACATATCCTATGTTTAGTTTGAAAAGTTGGAAAACATTAAGAAAATCATAGTTAAAGTAATGAAAACATATTTAAATCTATACTAATATTATAAAGAGTATAGATTTGTATTTTTGTACGTATTGAAATAACTCAAAAACTACTGGGCCGATTTCTAAAATTCCTTCAACATTTAAAAGATATGCTATCAGTGAGTAACATGGGCTATTCTTTTTTATTTCACGCTGGCGAAGTCACGAGCAACAGCTAGTCGTCTATAAAAACATCATTTCACGTAGAGTACAAAAATTAGCATAGTTATCTTAACAAAAAAAAAACAACAAAATGAAACTGTAACTGATATTGGACAAGAACTTAAAAGAAGGAAATGTTTTTATATTTCCAGAGTGATTCATTTCTGATCGCACTCTGGATATGGTACGCGGTTATCTTCGTGGTGGTGATGTTGATGATGATGATTCTGCTCGCCCTCGTGTACACATCACGTCGGCAGAGGAGTAGAGTGTTAGTTGTTATACTGGGAATGCTCTGGTATATACGTGAGTTTTTTGCAAATAATTAACATGAAAGGAACAATCCTATCGATTCCCTAGAACCCCAGACGTGTCATGTAATATTGTAATAACGTTAATGAAAGGAGGTTTTTTTAATTGCAAAATGATACAAGCAATGAATTTTCAGCCAGCAATGAAGCCAGGCCTTCCTCGTTAGTTAAGAACCTTTAGTTAAAATAGATATGCGGAAAATGATAATTCCTAATCTACGTGTAGTTATTATAGCGTTTATTTTTTACGTTTTACATAAATGTCTTATTTTTGTTCCAGTAACAGTATATTTCATCCTGGTAGTGAACAGTCATCGAAATACCTTGTTAAAAGAACATAGTTTAGATGAAAAAATTACTGATAAGAAGTTTTAAAATATATTATATTTTTGAAATAAAAAATTGAATATTTACTTAACGCAACGCTTTCTTAGATATAGTTTTACACCTTTACCCGTAAGGTCGGCGCAACAGGTTTTCTCCTCTATCTTCCGTCATCTCAGTCACTTCTTCCTTGATCATATCACAGTTTTCTTTATTGCATAAACAATATAATCGAAGTCAATAAGGTATCCTATAGTCGAAAATCAAAAAAGATATCGAACCTCAGACAGAAGAAAGAGGGAGGTAAAATGAAAAAAAATTAAAGGAATTTACATTTATTAAATTTCAAAGCTTATCTTTGGCAACATCTTTAGGTAGTTCTTTATTAATTTCTTTGGCAACATCTTTAGTACTTTCTTTAGCAGCATCTGCAACGATTCTTACTCTTTTCTGTTTACTTATCTCCATCCAATATCCATAGACCACGAAAATGAAATATATCAGTACAGCTGAAAGGAATAACGAGTCAATCTTAATACTTAGTGTCCGAGTTCAATTCTGGATTTAATCAAAGAACGTTCTAATTATTTGACAAAGTAGCGCTGCTAAGAAAGAAAATGGTGGGAAAGGAAAAGGATTAAAATTAGGCCTCCACACCACAGCCATCAGACGAAACGCGTCATACTTCCACTTCACGCCTGTCTTCTGTGTGGTCGTAGTATCGCACCGGGAGAGCCGGCCCTACGATTATGTTAAAAGTGATCTTCACCACTGTTAAGATTAGCTTCAAGTCTTGGAATGGTCCGTTGGCTCGACCAGTAAAAGATCTCTTACTGTCAGCTGTATACATACTTACCAAAGCATAAGCATTGAATGATCATACACAACGTGCCACCCGTCTTGCCCACTTCCATGTCGTGGACGATCATCAAGACGATGACTAACACGAGCAGTTTGACGAGCCACACGCTGGTCACCACCACCCAAATTATTACAACCGTAGTCTTTTTCTGTTAACATTAAAACATATTATTACAATTAGATAATGAGCGGTAATAACCAATATTGTTAGAGCGGCGAAAGATTTACGAGGGCTTGTGCGCCAGCGTGCAGGACAGAATAGAGTTCCACAGCTCTTATATAACCCTTGAAAATAACTACTCCGTAGAATTCTAGCCCAGAACGTTGGTCTGCAACCGGCACTTTATAAAAAGCAGTTATAAGACATTATACACTTATGAAATCTACAGTTTTGATCGCAGTAACTCTGTTAAAGTAAGGAGAGTCTCTATTTTATTTTCTCTACATACGGGTATACTGTTGTGAATTGCAATCTTAACGACATAATAGATTTTAGAGGTGTAATTAGGGTCTAGTTAGTTATAGGTAAGGATATTTTTCAACCAATAAAATTCGTGGTTTAATATAAAAATCGTAATATTACCTTCTTCACTGCCCAAATGAGCCATAAATTAACTAAAACCATAAGAAGGTTATACGTGAGTGCTGATATACCGAATCCATAAGCAGTTCGTAGAACAAACTTATCACATTGGATCCCTTGCACTGTTATTACTTGAATTATTATAGAGGTCCCGGTTAACATAGCCAAACACTGAAATTGTAATTACATATTATAGAGGTTACAACCAAACTAATTCATAACTTTGTAATGTTAATATGCTAACAATAATGAAGTGTGTAAATTTTATCCAAAATTATCGCTATAATGCCAAAATATCGATTGCAAAAACTAATTTTCTATACCAATATTTTTAAAAGGAAATGTGTATTTTTGTATTGAAAAAACTCGAAAACTACTGGGCCGATTTTAAAAATTCTTTCACCGTTAGAATGGTTATTTATTACTGAGTATCGTGGGCTATATTTTTTTAAATATCACGGGCGTGAAGTCTCGAGCAACAGCTAGTGTCATAAAAAAGGTGTAATGGGCCTCAGATTTAATCGCGATACGAAGCCCAAAGACTTTTATTCTAACTTCAATGTTTTTTTATATTCATGAATATGTGTTCCTCTATACATTATAGTTACATGCTAAAAGAACAGAAAATGCTTAATTTTAATATTAAACTGGTTTTACTTACAGACATCACTATTGCTATGAATAAAGTCCCCTTACTTAGTGGATAGTAACAAAAGAATTTTTTAGGCGCGAAAGTTTCCCAATTCATGATTGATAATAGCACTTTCCACTTAAATTGATCAAATTATTACAAAAGTGACTTTACTTTTGTCATAAGTGAAAATTGCATTGATCTCTACAAATAGATAGGCTAAAAGTCGCAGTTTATTGTGCGTATTTGATTCCCGCCATCTTGGCGCTGACTGTCGCGGTTAGTGGCAGTGGTGAGAATTGGAACTGATAATAGAGATTGAAATAACTGTCATTAACATCAACAAGCGCGTTTAAATTGAAACGAGGCGAAAGCTCTCATTTACAAGCAAAGACCTATCCATTTGTAATAATCAGTGGGAAATTGACGTATATTATTTTTCATATTGCAGATTAAATTAAGTGCAAAGGTATAGAATACATCCAAATATTTTAATACCGTATTTATTCAAAATAATAATAGTAAATACTATGCAATTATTACGATGTGTCATTAATTGTAACTGGGATGCTTTTGTCGTTTCCTTTTGTCTCTATCCAATATCCAAAAACAATCATTGACAAGTAGATTAGAATTCCTGTAAATAAAAAACGTGTATAGATGTAGAGGACAGTCTGGAAGAAAATATAGACTACAGTGTTTTGTTTTCTTTTTAATACCACGCGGACGGAGTTTCTAACATACATTTATAAAAAAAATATGCATGTTTGTAATTAATTACCGATAGCCAATAATCCAAATATTGTCGAAAGTATCCAGGCAGCGAGGCTTACTTCCAGACTGTATATACACAGCAGTACGATAAGCAGTAGAAACATTTGTGCCAGCCATACATCAGTTACAATCACCCAGCACAGCAATAGTATTCGTTTACTCTGGAAAATGTTCGAACCAGTATGACACGAGATCCTACAAACGAGATAATCCAAAAAGTCTATGGACGTCGATGATCTAAGTGCTTCCGTTGACAGTTTGTCCACTTTTTTTCTAAAGAGAATTTGTACAAATTAAAATAAATATTTAAATACCGACTACTGTATTTCTAACTACTTAAGTATTACTTACTTACAACTTCTACGCACTTATTGGCCATTAAATAAATATACAGTGAGTAAAAATGTTTGTTCATTGTATAACACATTGTTTTTAAAGAACGGAATGCTTAAGTTACATTGTACAAAAAAACAAAACACACTTGAATTTTTACGTCACTAATACGCAATGCGTTGGCGTTTTGCAATTTTATAACAACTTTGTTAAATCTTTCGACTCGAATTGTTGAACTTTAGTTTAATAACTTAGAGAAGACTTTGACCTTACTTTTAACACTGCCCATATTAATATAAGATTTATAACAATTATAATAACGTTATAAATAACAGCTATCACATGAAAACTGAAGGCGGTTCTCCATACAAATTTTTGGCATAATTTATCATCCATTTGACATACTTGAACTAACAAAACTATGCAACTTGTTAGCGCGATACACTGAAATCAAGAAATAACATTAAAAGCCTGTCCCACCACTGGCTGATAGCGGCTCAGATAGCTGAAAAGTGACGTCACTTTCAGATAAGGTAACTAAATCCGATATTTCCATCACACATTTTACACGTTGGATTGTTATCAGACAATTTACAATTTGGTGGGACAGCCCCTTAGACTTCAAAAAATTGTTCCGGCTAACCAAGAACTAATTTAACCATCACCAACTCCCTATACGTCACCTGTAGGGCACAGAGAATACCCTTAGTTAGGGGTGACTAGAATTTAGTCAACCACCATGGCCTCTTGCTTTTTTTTTGGTGTCGGGGGAAATCGACTAAAGATACCTTGCCCTCTGGGGGGAAGATAGGGTTTTGTAGGACTTGACCCACTAAAACCTCTTAGGTGGTCATCCCCAAGAGACATAGTCAAAGGTTCCGGGATCTACGAGGAACACGCCGGAACCCAACCTCGGTAGTCTACGAGTTGACTTCACAAATATCTTTAAATTTCTTCGCCGATGTCACAATGTTTTCCTTCACAGTAAGATCTTTATATAAATAATTATGATTACTAACTTACACTCATAAACACGCCCACAAACAGTGCACCCGTTTTCAAAGGGAAATAACATAGAAAATTTCTAGGAACCAAATGTTTTACGATCATTTTCTTAATATTTAAAAATATAGATCAGTTTAAATGTTTATGATTATTGTATAAGCCAACTTGATTTATATCTATTACTAGCTGTTTCCGTGCGACTTCATCCGCATAAAATTATGAATACTTCATTTTATTGTTCACGTGTGTCAAATTATCAATTGCAAATATCAAAATGACATGACATGATGACAAATCATGGCAACCTTGCTTCCTTAATGTTGGCAGCTTGTAGATTATGGTCCCTTTCCCACAGGAAGTTTTTCTTCCAATTTATGTATCTCCGAAAATTAATATTGTAAAAATATATAGCCTAAAGCATGTCATAAGTTTAGGGGTTTTTAATAAAGAAAGAATTATTCTAAAATATGTTGTGATTGCTGACATCCTACGCCACAAAGTAGTGTGTGTTTACGCTTTATTATGTTAGTATAGATTTACTATTGTAATATTAAAAAAGTTCAAATACTCCACTACTCTACTTTATACGGATGGATAATTATGACGGGACTTTGACTGGAAGGTAAAGAATGTACACGGAATCGTTTTAGTTTTTTTTTTAATTTCATTCTAACAATGTCGCGGTCAACCTTTGTTTACCTAAAACTTGAAATCATTTACATACTTTTGTAAGCAATAATACAATTTTATTTACTTTCATATCGCTAATAATGAATATGTAATTATACAGTAAAAGTTGAGATAAACATTCGTCTTCAGGTGAGTTTTAATTAGTTAATATTAGCATAGCTTTAATGTAAAGTAAATAAGCAAAGAAGACTTTGCTCATTAAAACTGTAAACAAAGTTAAAACATATCAAAACATATTCCATGTTATTTCTATGAAAACTAAATGTAGCTTCGCTCATCTATACTATTATAATAAAGCGTAAACACACATTTCTTTGTTGCCCTTGATGTCAGTAGTTATAGCATACTAGCTTTCGCCCGCGACTACGTCCACGTTAAATTGAAAAAAAAACAAAAGTGAGTAACCTATTCTTCCAGACTGTCCGCTACATCTATACTAAATTTCATCGAAATCCGTTTAGCCGTTTAGGCTACAAACTCTAACAAACATCCATCCATCTAACCATCCATCCATCTATACTTTCGCATTTATAATATTAGTATGATTTTTGAATAATTCTTTTTTTTTAATAAAAATATTTTCACGCTATTAAACTTAGGGGGTAAATATTTTGGATAAAAACTCTACTGTGGAAAAGAGACCATAAGTTGCTGCCAACATCAATAAAGCAAAATTGTCATAGTAAGGTAATTGGTATTTTGACATTTGCAATTGACTATTTGACACAATTTTCATAATTTCATGCGGATGAAGTCGCAGGGGAACAGCTAGTTGTATATACTTACGAGCGCTTTTAAGCTGGCTTTCATAAAACCTAAAACCAACGGTGTGTAGACAGCTTTATGGACAACTTAAAGTCTGTTACACACCTTCAGTTAAAAATGTAGGTATGATTTTATCTGTTAATTATACTGTACAGTTCTCAGTTTTGTCTACATTAGTTTTCAAATATTAACTGAAAGTGTGTAGCAGGCTTTATAGTGAAAGGTATCATGTGTAGAAATATTTAGGTTGTAACAGAAAATAACTATGTCATAAAATTATGTTTTTATGATGTTATCATCAACAATAAAATCTATTGTGATGTGAACAATCAAGGAAATGAAGAGTGTGGCGGAACAAATGGTTTTGATACGTTTGAGTAAAATATTGTTGACTTGACATATTTTATTTTATTAATAGTTGCATTAAAAATCAAAAATGGCAATAATAATAATTGACAGTTTATTAAAATTCATAAAACAAACTGTTTAAAATTTTAACGTACTTTAAAATCAATGAAATATAGTTGATGTCTCTGAAAAGGGTAAATTTATTTGTTTACGTAACATCTGGTATTCTAGGTATGTTAAGAAACTTATAATAAATGGTTTTAATTTTTTGCTAATATAATCTTTTCACCTAAGTCTATAATTTTGTGGTCGTACTATATATGTAACACGTCACTATGGAGATTCACCGGCAACAGTTTACTTCGTTAACGTTATATGTGTGGTAAAATGATTGGTTAGATTCATTGGATTTAATAATACTAATATATTAAAAAGCACTATTAAAATTATTATTATTGGTCCTTTTTTCAGATAATAATTTAAACTTAGTTTATTTGCTAAGGATTGTATTATTTCTTAGTGTTTACGGAGCTAGCCCGCGGCGACAGGAAGCTAAATTTAGTATCAGCTCGATGTTTGAATCAGCCGTTCCTGCAGCCATACATCCTTTGATTGCTGCTGGTTCATACAGGTGCGAGTATTCATACACATTTCATTAAATATATGAAGCAAATAATATTAAGATCAGTAACCAATAAACTAAAATAGGATAGCGTCGGTGGCTCAGTGGTTTAAGCACTTGACTTGTAATCTACAGGTCTTGGGTTCGAATCCCGCCGCCATTACCAATGTGATTTTCGATTTTTCGAATTTTCATATGTACATAATTTACCCGACGTTCTTACGGTGAAGGAAAACATCGTGATGCAACCTGCACATATCCGCGAAGAAATTCTAAGATATGTGTGAAGTCAACCAACCCGCACTTGGCCAGCGTGGTTGACTATGGCCTAGTCACCCTAACATTAGGGTAGGCTCCGAGCCCCTCGGTGGGGACGTATAGTGAGCTGGTGATGATGATGATGTTTAACCAATAAACTTAAATAAACCAAAAGTGAAGCATTAAATAGTATTCTTAATGATGATATTTTCACGGCAATTCCTTCCCCTTATTGTAGTAAGGTCTGTCCTATCAAACTAGTGTGTCCATCAAGGAGCGAGCTACCTTTCTTTCAAAAGCCGGCAATGCAATGCATTGCCTTTAATATGCCAATGTCCATAGCCGTATCCATTTCTTTGTCCTTTTACTTGTTTATTACTTTCTTTTCTTGTTCCCTTCGCTTTTCTTTTATCTTCTTGTTAATAATGTTTATTTTTAGGTGAAAATATAAAAAGATTTTTCGGTTTAACTTACGACCAAATGCAAGAAAAGAATCTATCCTTTTACGAGAACCTTAATATAGATTTTGTCACAAACAGTGGTAATGTTAAACTGAATGTGACCGCTACTGGATTACTGGACAGATTGTTAGACAATACAAAAATCACCGTTGTATTAACGCATGGTTTTATGGAGAGTTCGGACGGAATAATGGCAAAAGCTCTGACGTCAGAGCTTTTAAAGAGAAAAAATATGGACATATTGGTTTTAGATGGACGGAAATTTATATCATATGAATATTTCCGGTCGACGACGTACGTACGATTTATTGGAGAGAAATTGGGATCGTTGCTAAGTGAAATAATAAAAAGTAAGTTACATAAAACAAACATAACAACAGCCTGATAATTTTATTGCGTAAATATGGAAGTCCGGTTTACAAATCTTAGGTGAGGATACAGAAACAGTCTATCTACATTTGGCAGGAGTTCAGATCTTATAAACTTTGTTTTCATCTCTATTTTGCCTAGAAATATCACGAAATGTTACAAATAATAGAACTTAACCGCGGTATTTATTCTTAAATTTTCAGAAGGTCAAGATGCAAACAAGATAATTTTAATAGGTCACAGTCTTGGAGCTCACGTAGCTGGTGTAGCGGGTAAAAGAATTCAGCAATTGACGGGTACAGCTATAGGTCGTATTATCGCTTTGGATCCCGCGGGACCTTGCTTCATCAACGTCAGTCGGGATAACCGATTGGATCGGAATGACGCAGTGCACGTTGATGTCATACACACTAACGGTGGCATATTAGGATTGAAAGAACCTGTAGGTAAATATATGTAGGTAAGAAAGTAGGATGACTTCGAAATTTAGTTAAAATTTTGCAAGTTAAAAGTCTTGAAACGCAATACTAAAATGAAACTAAAACACTTCGATTAGTAAGCGACTCTTACAATCTGACGGCCATTTTATTGGAATCTGGAGTTTAAGCGATTTCTTATAATTTAAGATGCTGTAAAAATTTAAGTACATATCGTTTCAGTATACGGCCGTAAGTAATAAATATTCCAAAACTTTTGTAACGATTTCACTCAACTATCCAGTTACATAATTCTATAGAACATTGTGTTAAAACTCGAGGGTTTTTGTTGTTAGAATAATCAAAATATTATGAATCAAAAAACACCCACATAAAGTGAAAGTATATTAATAATTTCCAAGTTATGAGTTTTGTTACGAAGTCAACAAAACATGACAAGTTACGACGAAGTTTTGATATTTGTTATTATTATCTAATTCTCGAAATGTTTTAACACATCAACAAAACCATTGGCTACAAAGCGACTAGGAAATGTTGGTCAATTTCGTCAAAAAGGTGTTTATCAAATTATTTGATGGTACGCTTTATTCAATGTTGTCTATGATTGTATAGTTTTACAATTGTCCTCACAGTAACGAAATTGATCTTTTACCTGGCGCTTTAGTAACTATCAAATTAATATAATATTCATTAATAGAATTAATTTGCAGGTCACAAAGATTTCTATCCTAACGGTGGATCGTCACAACCGGGATGTTTCCTTTCCACCTGCGATCACAGCAGAGCGTGGGAACTATTTGCGGAATCTCTTACATTTCCTCAACATTTTATCGGTAAGAGAATGTTAACTTTATACAAATCTATATCTACACTATTATAATAAAGCGTAAACACACTTCTTTGTTGCCTAAGATATTAGCAATTACAGCATATTTTTGAATAATTATTTTTTTAATAAAAAGCCCTACACTTCTGTCACGCTTTAGGCTTCAATTTTCACGCCATTAAACTAAGGGTTTAAATATTTTGGATAAAAACCCTAATGTGGGAAAGAGACCATAAGTTGCTACCAACATTAAGGAATCAAGGGGTTCATCATGTCATGTCATTTTGACATTTGTAATTAATAATTTGACAAATGTAATCAAGAAAACAATTTTCATAAGTTAATACGAATGAAGTCGCAGGGGAACATCTAGTTTAAAATAACGTTGAATTGGACAATGAGGACTTATACTTATTAAAATTTTAAATTAATGTTAAAAATGTAATAAAAGACTTCTTTTTTCAGCTCGTAGGTGTAGTAATTGGACAATGTTTCGAGAAGGACATTGTTCAAAAAATGAATTAGCCTACATGGGAATAAATTCCACGAAAGGCAATCATGGATCCTATTTCCTTGTAACTAATTCTGTAACGCCCTTTGGCATCGGCTCTGATGGTACTGGATAACATTGATATATTTGAAAAACAATATAATTTAAGACTCGTAAATAAGAAGAAATAAAACAATAAATTTGAAATGTATTTTATTTCGCAGTGTAAATTAAACTCAGTTACGGTCATGATGAACAAACAGAGTATCTAGTTTCTGTGTAAGGTTTTTATAATTTCATTATTTTTAATTTACCCATCTACATATATCTATACTATTATAATAAAGCGTAAACACACACTTCTTTGTTGCCTAAGATGCCAGCAATCACAGCATAAGAATTATATAATTCTCATTTTAATAAAAAGCCCTTCACTTACGTCACGCTTTAGGCTAATATTTTCACGCCATTAAACTTAGGTAGTAAATATTTTGTATAAAAACATTATGGATGTTAGAAAGAGACCATAAGTTGCTGCCAACATCAAGGAAGCAAGATTGCCACAGTAAGGTAATTGGTATATTGACATTTGCAATTGAGAATTTGACACATGTAAACAATGAAATAATTTTATGCTGATGAAATCGCACAGGAACAGCTAGTAATATATAATAATACTAGCTTTGGCCCACGACTCCGTCCGTGAGGAATTAAAAAAAATTGTGTACCTTATGTGCTCTTCCAGACAATCCTCTACGTCTATGCCAAATTTCATCGAGATCCGTTCAGCTGTTTAGGCTACAAACTATAACAAACATCCATCCATCCATCCATCCATCTAAACTTTCGCATTTATAATATTAGTAAGAAGTAAGATAAAAGGTAAGTATAGTAATGAATCAAATATTTAATTTAAATATAAAAACTAATAACACCGAAACACTAATTAATATAAGGCCACGTTTTATGAGTATTGTAGTGTACAATTTCTGCGATCATTAATATACAAGCAATTACATAAAGTAGAAATATCACAAGCAATGGGGTAACGATATGTTCGGAGTAAGAACTGACGAAGATCCTATTTCTGACGCAAGTGAGGGGAGTCAGGGGATCCACCGATATCAATCTCTTGATAATACCAGCTTCTTTCATTCGCAGTATTCTAGAAGAGAAACAAATGGAAGGAATAACAAGTAAAAAAGATACTACGTAATTACGCTGACGCTAAAAACGGTATTAACGTCGATAACTTACCAGTTCTATTCTCTTAATGTCTCTTTGATGTTTTTTTTTTATATTTTGAGGCTTACTTAAGTTATTAATTATCAAGTTTATTAGGTAGTCGTTTATCAGTCCCGCTTCTAAAACTTCCCAATAATGTTTGAATACTTACCCTATCTTTAGTTTTTCTGTGTACTTGAATTGCTTTCCAACAGTAAGATACATTTTTACATTCGAAAATATATCTACTTCGTCTAATTCACAAATCGCTTCATCGTCAAACGCTGGGAAATAAAAAAATGTTTATGACAGAAGATCGAGCGGAGGGAGTTCCCTAAAATAGTGAAACAACTCCTCCCCTTAAGCTTTCTGTGTGTCTCCTTCACCATCAAATCCACTTCCCCTTACCATCTCTTTGCTCAAATTATTTCAATTTTCTTACAGAATCATTAAAAAAAGAGATAAAAGGCATGTGCTACTAACTTCTAGCAATGGCCGAATACACGGTTGGATAATCGCACAATAACGCAGTCTTCCCTCTCCGTACTGCCTCTAAGCCGGATGATAGATTAATTGATTTAGTACGACTCAATTTTTTAGCCATATCGTTCATTTCTATGTTGATTGAGTTTACCTGTGAAAATAATTAAAAAATTTAAGCATATCCAATGACATTGGTGGATTTTTTTCTTCTGAGTATACTATTCATTTATGGTCTTAACTTACTCTCCTTTCGGTGGCTAATTTCATATTTTCCAAGATTTTCAACTCATAATGACTTTTGGTTAACGCTTCGATGTCCATTTGACCTTCTTTTTCAGTGACGATGAACGATAGGAGATTTGAAGTGTAGAATGAATTTGTAATGTAAGCGAAGATGACAAAGAAAAAATAGGCCATTCTTTGCGACCAGAAAATTGAAGGCGACGGTAAAGCTGAAATAGTTTTTCAACTCATTACTGTGGGTCTTCACTGATCAATAAAGCGTAAACACACACTTCTTTGTTGCCTAAGATGTCAGCAATTACACCATATTTTTGAATAATTCTTTTTTTAATAGAAAGCTCTACACTTACGTCACGCTTAAGGCTATATTTTTTCACGCCAATAAACTTAGGGGGTAAATATTTTGGATAAAAACCCTAATGTGGGAAAGAAACCATAAGTTGCTGCCAACATCAAGGAAGCAAGATTGTCAAGGTTTGTAATGTCACGTCATTTTGATATTAGCTATTGATAATTTGACAAATGTAAACAATAAAATAAAATTTCCATAATTTCATGCGGATGAAGTCGCACGGGACCAGCTAGTTCTTTTTAAAAACGCAAAGACAACGATGTCATTTAATACAAATTGTGACTACCACCATTATTGATGTAAGACTAAAATTACGAAAACAAATTGACTACTAAAGATATGCACTTAATTTAGTAGATTCTCATAAATCTTAAAACCTCATTACGTGAGGTTCAAGGTAAAGTGTAACGTTTAAAATCCTTATCTACCTCGATAAGGAAAATGGTAGCTTTCATTTAACGACAACGATTCAATATGAAATGTCATTTGAGGGCCTCTGGACCAAAAATTTTTGCTAAAATACTTAGAGCGCCCATACTTTTGATTAATCTATCTTAAAACTGTTTAGCCGTGCTTTGATTCCTTTGAGACTATATGGAGATGTACACACTATATACTCGATTGTTAGGTGTGCAACTCTACAGTTGAATGGAATACGATCAATCGACAATCGCACAACGTTTGTGCAATGTTTTAGTCAAAGGTACACACTATTACATCAATCAAATAATACGGATTTTGATGACAGTTAGATAGCAAATATCACTATATTGTAATTAAATGTAAAAATCTTTCTAAGTCATCATCATCTCCCTGTAATCATCTCATTTACGGAAGCTCGGAGTTAACAGATTTTCGTTGTCGTTTTCGTATATTTATTATTGTAAAGAACTTTATGAAATTAAATTACATTATACTTACAATGTTGACAAAAGACTCCAACTGCGATGTAAAATTCGTAAATAAAATTACACTCCAAACGACCAACGATAGATTTCTCCCATCTCCGGACTACATAGAATATAACTGTTACCAATACAATAATACCTAGGATGCAAAGCCATACAGTTTTTGCAAACGGTAGACTGTAATATGGACGCATTATAACAGTTTTTTCACGACGTAGGATAAAGCCGAACCTGGAAGATAATAGAACATTCAGAGTCTGTCCCACCACTGGCTAATAGAGGCTCGGATAGCTTAAAAAGACGCCACTGTCAGATAAGGTTGTTAAATCCGATATTTCCATCACATATTTGACACGTAGGATTATTATCTGACAATTTACAATTTGGTGGAACAGGCCCTTAGAGCACTGTCTAAATTATTAAGTGCATGCGCGAATTATATGCAGTCACTGCAGAATTGTAATTCTAACCCTAAAATTTATTTCAATTAAATTCCTATTGATGAACTGTATTACTATAACCACTATTATTGTGTACTAGTTGTCGCCTGCGAATCTGTTTGCGCGGTAAATAAAACAAAATTAGCAGTCTACGTGTTCTTCTAGAGGTTTTTCTATATCTGCCAAGTTTTATTTAGTTTTATCCGTTCAGCCGTTTAGGTTACTCTAACGTTCATCTATCCACGGTCTAACATTTTCAATTTTAGTAAGATTAGTATTATAATAATGAAAAGTGCGATGGGCAGATCACAAGAATAGAAATACATTATAGTAGTCTGGAATAAAGCATTATTTTGGTTCACATTTACGAAGTTATGAACAGCTAGTAGTTATTTATAAGATAAAGTCATACAAAAAATACCTCCAAACAAATATAGCTTCTACAGGATTTGCGTCGTTTACCAGTTCATTGGTAATTGCCATCAGCTTGAGGTAGATGTCAACTGTTTTATTTCCAAGCAAAGAAACGGACCGATTTTTCGTTATTGAACGACCATATTCTGGTGTTATAAATGTTATACTGAAATGGAAAATACTCGTACGTCGAAAATAAACGTACTCGTATCGTATCTCCATATTATTAGTAGAAAAGGTTAGTGAAATCCCAAGTAGGGTTGGCAATAGGCAGGCTGGGCGGGCCGCAAAAAATAATGCCAAATCCTAAAGTAGGTTTTTGGTACCCGGAATTTAGAGGACAAAAACCTGTCATGCTGACCCTACGGGAGTAGGATAAGGGGGATGATGGTGATGATGATTAGTAGAAAAGGTTGGCAGTCGAAATTATATTGAGATTCATAAAATTACAGAAATTTAATCAAATTAGAACGGCCTTAAATCTAATATCTTCTTTTAAATCTAATCAGAATATTTAAAAGAAAAATTAAGTTTTTGTAATCACAAAAACTTAATTTTTCTTTTAAATATTCTGCATGTTACTATAAACAAACAAACAGTAGGAAATACACTTACTTGAAATTGTACAATTGCTGGAGTATCAGAATAACTCTGCAACTGAGAGCATTTTGTCTCCACGCCGGGTCAAACTGATGGATTGATTCCACTTCATCAACATGATTACAATCAAAAAGGGTCATTGCTTTAAAGGTACCTTCCATTTTTAAAACACTTAAGACTTGAAGACGTCGTCGATAAGAACAAGAAGAGAATGGCAAAGTGGAGTGAACGTGTATGATGACGTTGTAGTCCTTAAGTTAAAAGAAATAAAATATAATCAAACAAAGTGAACGAACTACACGGCACCTATCGTGATGTCTGTTCATTATTTAACAGAATTGGAGGAAGAAATAATAAAAATTAATGATAAGCAAACACAGAAGACGTCAATTAACAGATACGATACTTGATATAACATAAAGCATGCTATAATGAAAGTCAAACACTTCATTAATAAAATCAATTTTATATCGGAGCATACAAGATAAGAGCGTCGGTGGCTCAGTGGTTAAGGCACTAGCCTTGTAATCTACAGGTCTTGGGTTCGAATCCCGAATGTACCAATGTGATTATCGATTTTTCGAATTTTCATATGTACAAAATTTACCCGACGTTCTTATGGTGAAGGAAAACATCGTGATGCCTGCACATATCGGCAAAGAAATTCAAAGATATATGTGAAGTCAACCAACCCGCACTTGGCCAGCGTGGTTGACTATGGCCTAGTCACCCTAACTTTAGGGTAGGCTCCGAGCCCCTCGGTGGGGACGTATAGTGAGCTGGTGATGATGATACAAGATAAATTTCGTGGCACGGAATTATTTCTAGTAAAAATCTATCTATTTCTAGTAAATAAAAATATTTAGATTTAATAAGAAAATATTGCATTTCTGTAGTGCTTGTCGATTGTTTTGCAGGTAATTTAACTTTTTAGTTGCACAACTTAAAATTGAGTAGTGTGTGCACCTTCAAATGAGCTCGTAATCAAAGCGAGACTGAACAGTTCTGAGACAGTTTAGTCAGGTGTACGCGCTTAATACTTTGGTCTAATAATAAGATTCTTTAAAAAATCTTCAATCTATTGATTGATGACTCACACAAGTGTTGTTTTTTCAACTATTTTTATACCACATTAAGGATATGGTGAGAATATATTTAACTTTAAAATACGGTATAGTTTTTCATCCTCATCAGTTCCTATTTCAGATTCAGATTTATTTTTTCACCAAGTAACATTACAAAATTTTACATTTTTTACAAAGTCTTAACGTTACAAAAAGGATCTACTTATACGCGTATGTTTCAAAACGTGTCGTTAAACGTGACAATTTTATGAAATATTACCAAAATAGAATTTTCAATTTCACTTTCTGCGTCATGAATCTTTCGACCGTCAATCCGAGTTTAGAAAAGTTGTGCAAACGGTTAATTGTTTCGTCGACTTCAAACTTCGTCAGCGTCATGAAACTTCTCGTTCGGTTTCGCAATTTTTATAGCGTTTATTTCAAATAGAAATGTAATCATAAATTTTTATTAAATCGAACATAGTTTAATATACTTAACTATATCAGATAGAGTCGTATGTATATTGGCATTATTTTAGCTTGTGGATTGTAATCATTTTTTTATTTATAAGTAGCTTAAATTTATTACAAAGATATAAAATTTCATCAAACTGCCAAAGCAATGGCGAAAACTACAACCATAAGTATTCACAACATACTGATATTATAAAAGCGAAAGTTTAGATGGATGGATGTTTGTTAGAGTTTGTAGCCTAAATGGCTACAAACGTAAAAGACGTAGAGGATAGTCTGGGAGATCACATAGGTTACTTAGTTTTGTTTTTTTTTTTAATTCCACGCGGACGGAGTCGCGGGCGAAAGCTAGTATTTCTATAATCGTCATTTAAACTAACAAACTCAATCAGTATCTTTAAAGTTACATTTAAGAATAGATTAATAAAAAAAATAGTTAAAAAGCACACACAGATTACGAGTTATTCAGTATGTAAATGTCAAACTAGAGTTTGATTTTTAAGCGTACTGTTTAGTTCATAATGCTCGTCTATGGTTACCTACGTGTTAAATATCTGTTTTTAGATTAATAAAAACTCTTGCTCGCGTCTCCGTCCGCGTGGAATAAAAAAAAAACAAAAGTGGGGCCCATGTGTTCTTTCACACTATCCTCTACATCTATACCAAATTTTTTCGAAATCCGTTAAGACTACAAATTCTAACAAACATTCATCCATCTATCTAATCTTTCGCATTTATAAAATTAGTAAGAAGTAAGATTTGCATAAAATCCAACGGGATTTAACTGAGCGGTAACAAATATAAATAAATATTACTGTGCGTGTTTTACAACGTTACCGACATCAACGTGGTAAGGCACGCTTTGATTGGACAAATACATCCGGAATTGGTTTACGTAACGCGATAAAGAAATCTTACTAGTGTAAAACATTTCTAAAAATGTGCCTCACTTGTGTAAGTAAATTCTTAAATTAACTTTCTAATTGGTAAATTAATCGCTTAATACTTTAAAGTTTGTAAGAGTTCTCCGTAACTTTGTTGCATGTCGCAAATATTTCTTAATTAATATACGTTTGTTAGTTGGAAATCACGTTACTTGAAATGAGTTTTAGAAAAATGGTTTACAGATTACAATTTTACGTGATGTAGTCACTGAAGCCAAGCGTATCTCTGTATCTCTTATTTAATGCTCTCGCTTGTCACTACAACATGTCGTCTCATGCATTTTTTAATCCTTAATACGATAGTGTCTAGAGTGAGAAACAACTAATTTAAAAAAATCTACCGAACTAGATTTTGATTCTACGGGTAGTGTGTTGGTAACATTTAATACATTTTTGCTACAAAATACTCCGTCGAATTAAGGGTGATGTCAATATAATTTAAACGGGGGAATATCAAAAATAAAAATGAACAGTTCGCTTTGTAACCGCCGCTTAAAATATGATAGTGCTGAAAATTCGCGTGGATTTATCATTCAAGACGCTGTTACACATTTAACGGTCGGTATCCAATTACGTTTAACCATTCGTTAGTGTTTTAGTTCGTTAAATTCAAATTCTGAACTACGTAACTCGAATTACTCCGTTGAATCATAGGTGAACGTAACACTAATAACTAGGTAGTGTTGGGAATAAAAATAGTACCGTGCTATAGAATTGGCGCAACTCTAGATTATCGGCGTAAACGTCACGTCCCTAGATGACAGCTGTCAATGTCACTAGAAGTATGGATAGAATAAAATAAAGAAATAAATATACACCCGCTCCCCAGGTCCCTGACTTAAAATGTGTTAGGGGAACAGGAGAGTGGCATATAGCCGCAAAAAAAAAAAGTATGGATAGATTGGCGCGCAACCTGGGTCTGGACGAGAAGTGTTGCTCTGAGTTTAAAGCGACAGTATCAATTAAATAAGTTGTCTAAAAGTAATGACGAAATAAGTGGAAACTTCAGACACCCATAAACGTAATTTCAGTATTCTGCCGAAAGTCTACGGCGTCTTCGAATTTTAAAAAGTAAAAAAAATATATTGTGTGTGCTTGTTATTGCATGTCAATCTGAACATAGCTTTATTAGCGGTAATAGGTGCACTTACGTTAATAAAGTCATTAAGTAGACCATTATCATCATTAATTCAATTAGCACATATCAAATACAAGGTAATGTGATAAATTGATCGCATTATGAACATTATGTTAGCCTTCGCCCGCGACTTTGCCCGTGTGGAAATAAAAAAACCACAAATAAGTAGCCTAGCTCTTCCAGATCTAGTTATTCCAGACTTTGCTTTACATCTATGCCTGTCTTTGAGATCCGTTCACTTGGCTAGGCTACAAACTCTTGCAGGCCCGGGTTACGGACGTAAGCGAAAGCGTGCCCCGGCCTAAGGCGTTGGAGGAACTGAGGGGTTAAGTGAGTATGCCTCCCATTATGGGGGAGAGTCCCACATAACTACCGCATCCCCCGGGCGCGGAGTATGCGTAAGAAGCATTCACCTCGGACAAAACAAAAAAGCCTACAAACTCTCCCGCTGAGAGTTGCCAGTCCTGCTTTTGGGCGCGGGTAGGAGAATGCCACGACATAACCACCCTTGTACCCACAAATGTGACATGCGTAGGCATTTCCCCACGTAAAAAAGGCTCCAAATTTCAATAAACATTTAAACATCTGAACTTTCGCATTAATAAGATGTAACTACATTGTTTATCTTTTTTAATATTTTATTTAAAACACTCATTTGCGTAGGACAGGATTTGATATCGGTTAATTACGTATTTTCATGTCAATTAATTACAGACAGGCTCACAGCTGGATGTATGTGGTATCCGACATGTATTGCTTTGACGTATTAAATTGTTTTTCATTGGTAATTAATTAAAATATTAATCATTGTACTTGTAGAAAATTTTAACCCGAGTTTCCACTAATATATCTATAAGTAATATCTTCTAACTAAGATGAGAAATTATGCTAAATATGTTTAATGTGAATATTAATAATCCGTCAGATAAAATATATTCGTCACATATAGTGTTGTGATGAAAAGGTCACAACGTAGTGGGTAGTTGTGACGAGCATCGCATTATCGCAGCAGAGGTACTTGGCAAAGAGGTCGAGTATTGTTGACGTCTCCCTACTATGGAACAAAATATAACTAACTACATTACTTTTTGTAAATCATAAATAGTATAATACGAAAATTATAATTGTCAAAGTTTGAATAGATACATGTTTTTTTACATACTTCAAAAATAAAATTTTGATAAAATTTCTTAGAGATTTGTATCTTAGTCGATGATTGGTCAATGAAAGGTGTTTCCCGTGAGTCCATTGAACATATGGATTTAATCGACCCAATGGAAAAAAATCAAATGGATCAATTATCCGGTGGACCGACTAGCGCAAGGGGAAATACTGATTTTGTCACCGGCTTATTAAATACTCTTTGGCAAATTATAGCTTAGATTTTCAGTATTTTTAACTGGCTATTGCCCGCGACTTAGTCCACGCAATATTAAAAAGTAGCCAATGGTATGCCCGTTTGTCAGCTGTGAAACTCCCGTCGAAATCGGCTAAGACGGCTTGCGGACAGACAGACAGACAAAAAGGTTTTAAATGCGATTTTCGTTATCAGCAATACAAATACATCTTCCCGAAATCTGGATTTTTTCTTTTGTTATTACAAATAGACACTTCAAATTTATTTTATGTCGGAGTGACGAGCGGTCTGTAGAATTCAATTGTCAAGGTAGATCACATACACGGTAACGATCTTTATTACGTACGTAGGTAGGTAGTACGTATTTCGAAGATAATGAAATAACAATCGCGTAACATTAGAAACACTATCCTTAGTTGAACATCATCTTAATTGATAACATCACAACACTCTCTTATCAAATTGTAAACATTTACTGAGGTTAACCATTTGATTTTATAATAACAAAACGCATTCCACCATTCAAAGACAACTGTCTTCAGTCATTCTATCGTCACCTTGACATCTATACTATTATAATAAAGCGTAATCTCACACTTCCTTGTTGCCTAAGATGTCAGCAATTACAGCATATTTTTTAATAATTATTTTTTTAGTAAAAAGCCCTACATATACGTCACGCTTTAGGCTATATATTTTATCGGCATTAAACTCAGGGGGTAAATATTTTAGATAAAAACCCTAATGTGGGAAAGACCATAAGTTGCTGCCAACATCAAGGATGCAAGGTTGTCGTCTTATCATGTCATTTTGATATTTGTAATCGATAATTTGACAAATGTAAACAATAAAATAAAATTTTTATAATTTCATGCTGATGAATCCGCGCGAGGACAGCCAGTCTACATATATGCACGATGCACATTCAGCCAGTACTCAAAATTATTAGTTGCCAGTTACATTAATCGTTCAAAAAAAAAAGAAGAAAATTGTCATAGTAAAGTTTTTTCAGTATTGTAATATATGGAACATTTGGGATTTGTAAGTTGTGCCAGTGAAGAAGTGTCATGAGAAAACATTTTATTGCCCAATAAAACATTTTTATTACACGATTACTATGAATATTTTATTATTGTATATTCCACTATGAATTTAAAGTGATTTACGTTGACATACCTGAAAACATAATTTGGAACGACTGATTGTACAGAACTGAATTTATTTCTTAAGGAAATCATTATGTTATAATTAAACTAGCTGTCGCCTGCGACTCCGTTCGCGTGGAATTAAAAAATCAAAATTAAGTAGTCTATGTGTTCTTTCAGATTACCCTCTGCATCCATCCCAATTTTCATCGAAATCTGTTGAGCCGTTTAAGCTACAAACTCTAACAAACATCCATGCATCTATCCATCTGAACTTCCGCATTTATATAGTACTAGCTTTCGCCCGCTACTCCGTCCGCGTGGTATTAAAAAAAAAACAAAAGAAAATAGCCTATGTGTTCTTCCAGACTATCATCTACATCTATGCTAAATTTCATCCAGATCCGTTCAGCCATTTAGGCTACAAACTCTAACAAACATCCATCCATCTATCCATCCATCCATCCATCCATCCATCTAAACTTTCACATTTATAATATTAGTATTAGTAAGTATTAGTATGATGAAGTATGATAAGTAATGTTACCATCAAGTCGTGTTTAAAACTAAAAGGAAATTGTTAGTCATGACATGATAAAAACATATCGACGAATTGAATACCTCCTTCTTTTGGGAAGTCGGTCAAAAACATTCGTCGGTAACTCTTTAAACTGAAAAAAAAAAACATAATTCGCTGGTGATAACATGATTTAATTTTCAACGTAAAGAAAAAACTTCATAATTCAGATTTTTGGTATATTTATACATTAAACAGAAAATGAAAACATTACAAAATTACAGATCGTGCATTTTATTTGCTTTATCATTCAAGAAATGTGTAATTTACTAAAAACATAAGCTGCAGGGTTAATTGACCAAGAAACGCTATAATACAGAAGAACATAAGCTATATTTAAGTCAACGGGAAGGGTATGGATATGACAGAAAAGATATAAGACATGAAGCAGGCGATGCTGAGGTGTATTGCTAGTATAGAACAGATTACTTGTTTAATAATTATTTTCATTTATTAGTTTTATAATTGATTGTTTAGTAATTATCTTAAAATTACGTGAGCAACATTTTTGGGTTAAAAAATTTTATGCACTATTTTTAGATTTATACTGTAAAAAAATAGAATCACATTTAAAAAAAAAACAGTAAAAAACTGAGTATTTCATATATCTATTTTGAAATTGTACAGTCATTATTTTAGGCTATCAAAGTTCGATAATGAGCATATAGTTTTCACGGCTTTTGGCAACCCTATTAGGTGTAACTAACGTTTGCCACACTACCTCATTAGTTACGCTAGGGTTGTCACGGCCACGATAATTGTCCTATCTTTGCTACTATAGCGTCAAACAGTCGTAGATCACATTTCTAATGAAAAAGTTGTGTTTGATGGCATTCGTAAGTAACAAAGTATTTTTAATGCTTTTTGGGCTTTAAAAAAAAAACATGGTTATTTGAAGAATACTAGTCCATAAGAAAGTACTTATATTTTGTAATGCTTTCTAAATAAATCTTACATTTAATTTACAGCTGCCAACATTAGCAGAATGTCCAAAATTTTATTTAAAATCAATGGAATTCAGTATGAAGGTAAGATACAGGAAAATGTTGAATTTATTATTACAATTTAAAGTTATGCTTAAGTGTAAAAAGTGCATTTAAAATAATAACACTAGGCTATAAAAAACCTATATAACACCCGTGGCGTCGCTTCAAGGCTACCTAAACATTTTCTTGATATAAAAGTACATCGACGATCTTTCCTAGTGACCAATAACGACCGTGGTCTTAGTGTTTATTTTAATAAGTCACTTAGAGTTATTAATGATTCTCCAGTGGACGGCAACTACAGTCCGGACTTCACGTTGAACGAATTCATCAGAACGGTAGCAGGGCTTCGCGGCACCAAGGCGATGTGCCACGAAGGCGGCTGCGGTGCATGCGTGGTCGCCGTCCAAGCTCCGACGCAGCCTAATAATGAACTGAAGATATTCTCCGTTAATTCCGTAAGCAAACTTTAATCAACGAGAAAGCAAACTTGAGATAAGGAATTCAATGTGCTTCAGATGCGCTGTTGTCGTAAGTGCGTTTTCTAAGGATCCTAAGACGTATTATTAAAACACTACTAAGACATGAAGACAATCATAAAGCCGGAACTTATTTGAAGAGCGTACCACTTATATTATCATTTAATAGACGCCTTTAAAATTTTTTTACTTTGCAGTGTCTAGTGTCAGTTTTATCATGTCACAGCTGGGAGGTGACAACTGTTGAAGGTATTGGGAACAGAACAAGCGGCTACCATGACATTCAAACTCGGCTAGCAAAATTTAACGGCACCCAGTGTGGTTATTGCACGCCAGGTTGGGTCATGAATATGTACAGGTGAAATTAAATTAAAAAAAATTAAAAAATCATGACACAATTTTATTTTAGAATAAAAGATTTGGTGGACATAACTGGACTACAGAACTTTATGATAATGTCAATTACATTTTCAGTTTATACAAATCTAAAAATGGTAATCTCAGTGCGACTGAAATAGAAAATTCATTCGCAAGTAATATCTGTAGATGTACTGGATACAGATCAATAGCAGACGCATTTAAAACTTTTGCTAAAGATGCTGACGAAGACATTCTCAAGAAACTAATTGACGTGGAAGATATTTGCCAATTAAAAGCATGTGGTGTCAAATGTACAAAAATATGTTCATATAGAAATATACAGAAGAACAATCCAATCAAAATACAATTTGTTGAAGAATCAAAGAATGATTCTTGGTGTATTCTTGGTAATTTGAAAACCGAACCTTTAATGGTGAAGAACGATACATTTAGATGGTTTAAAGTATATAAATTGTCTGATTTTTTTAAAGTTATAGAACAAGGCGATAACTATAAAATAGTAGCCGGAAATACAGGGCAAGGTAAAAAATTTGCGAAATTTAAAAATAAAAATTTCTTTGACTTTTAGTAATGAAGAATTTCTATTTTTCAGGAGTATTTCATGTTAAGAAATATCCAGCACACATTATAGATATCTCTGATGTTGTTGAATTAAAAACTTTCTTATTGGATATTAATTTGGTATTGGGTGCAGGCATGACATTGTCTGATATGATGGAAATATTTCTCAAAATGTCTTCAGAGAATGAGAATTTCTCATATTTGAAAGAATTCTATGCTCATATGGATTTAGTTGCTCATATACCTGTTAAAAACGTAAGTGCCTTTAAAATTATGCGTACAAACTTATTTATACAAGTATGCATTAAAGCTTTAATTTGACACAATTAATTTTACCCTTTAATTTTCATTTCAAATAATTTGGGATTCTCAAAATGATACTTTATTACGCATGAATTTACTATTTATTAATTTTTAATATGTTATAGATTGGAACAATTGGTGGTAATTTATTTTTGAAACATTCAAATCCTGAGTTTCCGTCTGATTTATTCCTGTTATTTGAAACCGTTGGAGCGATGATTACAATCGGTAAGACTTAATATTCTAAGTTAATAACGAGAAGCCTTCATACCAAAAGGCTTTACACGAAAACGAGAATATTTACATTAACTTTGCTTATTTCGCCTTAGGCTTTGTTATATTTCTCTGATAAACTGCTATAGATTTGTGATAGTACAAGGTAAAGTGCTTTCCTAAAATCAATTTGTATAATATTTGACCTTTGTTTTATACTCAGCAAACAATATTGACAAAAGAAGAACTCTCACTCTGCAGGAATTTTTAAAAATTGAGATGAAAGGAGAAATTATTATAAACGTGTTGTTGCCGCCATTAGCTAATAACTGTTACGTTAGAACTTTTAAGGTAAATATCAAAACATGATAATACAAATACATATAATGTAAGCTTATATTTTATTTACGTATTGATTTTAGATTATGCCTAGATCGCAAAATGCACATGCTATTGTCAACGCAGGATTTCTTTTCAAATTAGATCAAAACACAGGCACTGTTCAGGAAGCAAGTGTTGTATATGGAGGTATATCTCCTGACTTTATACATGCACGAAAAACTGAGGCAACAGTTATAGGCAATGATATCTTTACTAACGAAATATTACAACGAGCTTTGACAACATTGTCCGATGAACTAAACCCTGTTGAAGCTCCGCCAGAACCCTCGGCTGCGTTTAGAAAAATGTTAGCAATCGCTCTGTTTTACAAGGTATTAATTAAAAAAAGATTCATCCAGAAGACATGACATTTTAACATTTATAATTCCTGTTTTAAAATTTCAGGCCGTATTAAGCTTATGTCCTGAGAGTAAATTGAATCCAACTTTCAAATCAGGAGGTGAAACATTAAAAAGAATTTCGTCGAAAGGCAGTCAAGTCTTTGATACAGACAAGAGTTTGTGGCCGTTGAATCAACCGATTCCTAAATTGGAAGCTCTAAGTCAGTGTAGTGGTGAAGCGACTTTTGCAAATGACTTTCCGAAACAAGTCGGTGAGGTATTCGCAGCATTTGTAACAGCTGATATAAACCCAGGCAGTATTATAAATGATTTTGACACAACTGAAGCATTTGTCAGTAGACTTTTAATAGATGACAATCTATATAACCTCTAAATATCTAGAACTAATGAAACTTCATTTCAGAAAATACCCGGAGTCATCGCATTTTACTCGGCCAAAGACATACCAGGAGTTAACTCGTTTACACCTTTCTACGTACCACTTTTATCTGAAGACGAAGAAATTCTGTGTTCAAAAGAAGTTAAATTCTACGGCCAACCAGTCGGAATTATCGTTGCCGATAGACAAAAGACAGCTAATAATGCTGCAGAACTTGTTAAAGTGAACTATTTAATTAATCAAAATAAACCATTACTTACTATTGATGACATTTTAAAATCCGATGAGAAGGATAAAAGAATAGTTACAGATCAAGTAGTCGAGCCATCAGAAAAAGGAGATGATGTTAAAGCTGTTTTATATGGAGAATTTGATTACAAAGCACAATATCATTATTACATGGAGCCACAAACTTGTGTAGTGACGCCTACAGAAGATGGAATAGCAGTGTATGCCGCAACACAGTGGCTTGACGTCACAGGTATATCTGTGGCTCAATGTTTAAATGTACCAGTTAATAGGTAAATGTTTAATTTATAAGAAAATAAGTCGAGTCTAGTTTATGTCCAGCTTCGCCAAGTATTTTTTATTCCAGTGTTAATGTAATTGTAAGCCGAGTCGGAGGATCTTACGGAGGTAAAATAACCAGATCAGGACAAGTAGCTTGCGCTGCAGCCTTAGTATCACATATGCTTGGAAAAACATGTCGCCTGATAATGTCCTTGGAAACAAATATGAAAATGATCGGAAAGAGAACACCAACTTATTCCAAATACGAAGTAAGAAAAGAATGATACTGTAAGCTTCCACTGCCGAAAAAAAGACATGCCTCTCACTGTATTTGTAAAAAATGGAGACAAACATATTCTAAATGGCATGTACATCAGCAGAAGAAACCCATACTTTTTATAAACATGTGTATTTGCAGGTCGGAATCAATGATGAAGGAGCAATACAATATTTGAGAAATGTTTTTTACCAAAACAATGGTGCGTCATGGAACGACAAAATCACTTACATAGTTTTTAAACATTTCTATAATTGTTATGATCACAAACGATGGTACGTGGAAGCCAATGGGTTTATATCTGATTTACCTTCAAATACATGGTGCAGAGCGCCTGGTACGTAACAAATAAAAAAAATTGATAACATAAAAAATTCTTTCTTAAACAACAATCTCTTTCAGGATCAGCTGAAGGATTGGCTATGATAGAAGAGATAATGGAACGTATTGCTCATCATACTGGAATAGATCCAATTCAAGTAAGATTAACAAATATGGCGAAAGAGAACAATCCTATGCCAGAATTAATTGAACAAATAAAACACGATTCAGATTACGATAATAGACTTAACGAAATTTCCAATTTTAATCAAAGCAATCGCTGGAGAAAACGTGCGATGAAATTAATGCCGATGACGTATGAAATATTTTACGTAGGTCCTTACAGTGCATCAGTGTCAGTATATCATGCAGATGGTTCGGTAATTATATTTCACGGCGGTATAGAAATGGGACAAGGTATAAACACAAAAGTGGCACAGGTTTGTGCGTATATTTTAAAGGTACCGCTTGAAAAAGTTAGTGTTAAAACTAGCAGTAGTTTTACATCACCAAATAGCATGACTACCGCAGGCAGTATTGGAAGTGAATGTGTCGCTTTCGCAGTTATCAAGGCTTCTGAAACTATTCTAGAAAAATTGAAACCTTTTAAGGAAAAAAATGTAAATGCTACTTGGAATGAAATTGTTAAAGAAGCGTTTCTTGCTGGTGTTTATTTACATGCTTCTTTTATGTATGATACATCAAATACATCATTAAAACCTTATCAGATTTATGGCGTTGTTGTATTGGAAGCGGAGCTTGATCTTTTGACTGGCAACCATGATATTCGACGAGTTGATTTACTTGAAGATACTGGTAGAAGCCTTAGTCCAGAAATTGATATAGGACAGGTACCACATTTTGTCTAACACTCAAATTATCGAAAAGCATATATTCTAGGCCTTCCCCAATGGCTTACGCAGACTGCGGACAACAGCCATCCGTATTTAGTCTGCTCGTCTTACCGTCGTGTGCAAAATCACCCGCCTACCTGGAGGAGGGAAGCCCCAAAGCATAACAGGCATTCGGAATGACCTACATATGTCCTCCATTGGGCACACAAAAGCTGATGATGATGATGGTGTATTCTTGATCATGTATTTTCAGATTGAAGGTGCTTTTATTATGGGACTTGGCTATTGGACATCAGAGAACATAATTTATGATCCAAGTAACGGCAAAATACTAACCGATCGAACTTGGACATACAAACCACCAGGACTTAAGGATATTCCTGCCGATTTCAGAATCTACTTTCAAAGGAATTCGAAAAATGAAGTCGGTGTTCTTCAATCGAAAGGTATTGCAACAACAGATTTAAATTTGGACAACGAAACGAATTCGATTTTATAAAGCAAAAATTTTTATATGCACAAGACAAGAGCCACAACTTGTGTCAATTTTTATGACGGTTATAACTGTTTCCACAGCAACCGGTGAACCAGCACTTTGTTTGGCAGCAGTCATCACACATGCACTACGAGAAACTATTCGATTATGTCGTTTGGATGCTGGTTATGACGACCATTGGGTTGAATTAGGTATTAGTCACATTTAAAATGTTCTTTTTATTACAATTGTTATATCAGGCATTTTTAATATTTCTATTTCAGGACATCCATGCTCGGTTGAAAACATTTTCATGGCTACGGGACATAAACTAGAACATTTTAAACTGAATACATAATTAACAACCAAACAGCGACAAACCACCAAACCAACCACCACCGGGCCAAACAGAACAATTAAATGATTATATTCGTATTTTAGTATTTGAAATTGGATTGAGGCAAAGTGCTTAAATAACAATTAAAAGCTCGATTTCTAAAATGTTATTTAATAGCTAGTTACAGCTAAATTGACTATTAACAAATTAATACTGTTTTTACAAGTTCTCTAATTGCATAAAAGTTATTTTTACGTGGTCTTATGTTGTGTTGTTTAAAATACTATTTTTTTGTATGTAATTTAATAATATACTGCACTCATTTTAAATATAACTATTGTTTGAGATATAATTTTATTTACAATTTCATAAAACATTTTATCAAACCTGTTTAAATATTCAAAAGTCTCGCCTCCACAGTTGTCTATCACTTAGAAATGGGCGGTATAACTTCATACTGTTTGTGACATCAATTATTAAAATATAAAGACTTGACACTTGTAGTTTGACTTTTACCAGTTAATCATATTAAATTAATAATGCTTGGTTTAAAAAACTGTTATAAAACAAATCAAGTAACTATCTTATCTTACTAATATTATAAATGCGAAAGTTTATATGGATGGATGTTTGTTAGAGTTTGTAGCCTAAACGGCTGAACGGATCTCAATTAAATTTGGTATAGATGTAGAGGATAGCCTAGAAAAACACATAGGCTACTTATTTTTGATTTTTTAATCCAACGCGAATGGAGTCGCGGGCAAAACCTAGTTTTTAAACATTTATGGCAGCGTTAACGTAGTTGACTTAAAAGCTTGTTCTGCGAAGATGTTGCAAGGATGAATATATATATATATTGTAACTTTGACACTAGAGTATAAGAACTACAGTATCTTAGAGCATGCGCACCCCTTTGACTAAACTATCGTACAACTGTCTTTGATTCCTATGAGTTTATACGCTTATGAGAGTGTTCACACTACTTGATTTTTAGTTGTGCGACTAAACAGTTGAATTGGCTGCGAAACAATCGACAATCGCACAACAATTATGCGACAGTTTCGTCAAAGGTGTGCTTATTATAGTGTTATTTGGCATGTTGCTATTTTACTTTAAAAAAAATACAAACAGACTTTGACTGTAATTGCAGATTGATTAGTTTTTTTATTAATTAAAGGCAATTCTTTAGAATGATAGGTATAATAGCAACCTACTTTTTACTCTAATTACGTTACTGTGACGTCCGTTTCCTCCACCATACGTGTAGGCGGTGTCTTGTACAGTTGTGAAGGAAAGTGTTTAAGAATTTTTTTAAGTATTTTTTTCATAATTCTCAAAGTCAACGGTCTATAAACCTTAACATAATGCTTAATTGACTTCAAATTTTGTAACATGTTGATGAGATTTTTGAAATTGTTTCGTTAGAATGGCTTCTTGCTTTCAAGGTATTCTTTAAGAAAGCATATAAACTATCAAAACTTAGTTTATTGCCTGGTTATATGGATTAATTTATTGTGATTATTACATGCTTTACTACTGTATGTGATCCTGGCTTTTCTCAAGAAATAATTTATTAGAAATATTAAATTTTATTAATAAACTAATAGTGAGTTTTGTTGACGACTGTACCTTGTACCACGCCCTCGGAAAGCACTGCAACGGCGGTCAAGTAATCCAACAGCTGCCTTCGTTTGCGGACTTTGTCGTGTAAGTGATTTTTTTTATCCCATTTTTACAAATAGACAATATTTGGTAGTATTTAAAACAAACAAGTTCTTAGTTTGCTCATAAGTTATTATAGCGAATTTTTTTTTTTCTTTTTCCGAAGTTAACCTGTAAAAAGATGGTGATAGAAGTTTGCAGATAAACAAAATATTCAGCTATTTTTTTTTAAATTCAGGAATAGATAATCAAATTTGTCAAACATAGGAATGGAATACTTTAACAAAATACAAAAAAAACCCTATTTCAATTGTTTAATATCTATACTAATATAATAAAGCGTAAAAACACACTACTTTGTGTTGTAAAATGTCAGCAATCACAGCATATTTTTGAATAATTCATTCTTTATTAAATAGCCCTACACTTACGTCACTCTTTAGGCCATATATTTTCACTCATTTAAACTCAAGGGGTAAATAAATTTGTTAAAAACCCTAATGTGCGGAATGGACCATAAGCTACAAGCTGCCAACATCAAGGAAGTCAGCCATGGATTGTCATAATGTCATGTCATTTTAACATTTGCTATTGATAATTTGACAGATCTAAACAAAATAATAAAATTTTGATAATTTCATGCGAGTGAAGCCGCACGGGAACAGCTAGTCTTTCTAATATTATAAATTCGAAAGTGTAAATGGATGGATGTTTGTAGACTTTGTAACATAAACGGATGAACAGATCTTGATGAAATTTGATACAGATGTAGGACAGTCTGGAAGAACACATAGGCTACTTACTTTTTTACTTCCACGAGCACGGAGTCGCGGGCGAAAATTAGTCGTTTGACAATTCAAAGGTCACCTTCGACCAAGCGTCGATCGATTTTGGATTTTTCTTTCTTTATAATTTAGCTAACAATGATAGAGTAGTCAGTGACGTGGGCGTCTATAATTTCTGCGATGATAATAATTTCGTCGTGCGAACCTCACAACCTGCACAGGAACGACGAGCTTGCCTTTTTATCGATTTCAAACCTTTTCTATTACTACTTCTAATCGCTTAATTGAATGTTTCTTTCGTATGATTTTTATTACGTCATTTCTGCCTTTCTCGAATTTTCTGTCCGTTTTTTACTGTTATAAGCAAATTGATTGGTTTTTGTTATGTGGTCCTTAATAATACGATTAAATATTAACTGTAGTACATCAGAATAATTCGTTTTTACTAAATTAAGTATAATAATAGAATATTGGAGAAGACGGAGAGCGTTTGAAAAATGTTAAGTTTTATCACTTTAGTCATAGATTAGTGATTTATCTAAATATTTTTGACTGACTTCCCAAAAGAAGGAGGTACTCGATTCGTCTGTATGTTTTTTTTTAATTTTTTACACGAAAGATATTAATCTAGAACTTTCCTTTGTAGCCTGAACTTCGCAGTTACGATGCAGTTTCCAAGACATATGAAGATCGCAGCGGGGTCGCTGGGAACAGCTATATTTGGTGTGCTATTCGGTTGGGTCATATTTCCCACTGTTTTAAAGAGCCAATTAAAAAAGGTAAGTATAATGCCTTTACTGTTCCTTTGATGACATTGAAATCTTTTGTGTTTCATATATTAATGTTAAAAAATGAAATGTTTCAAAGAACAAATTTTAATAAAGCACGTTTAAACGTCACGAACATATCAACGTAATTAAAAAACACACTTGGAATTTTAATTTGTACTTTCCTTGAAACAGATGTTTTGAATATATTTTAAACAAAAAAGTTATAATATTTCATTCAAAATGTTGAATTGTATTTGCTTTGTGTTGATAACCTATTTAAAATTTTGATCAGACTATTGTAATAGAAATACAGAAATGTGTTTAGAATTTTTGTAATGCCATTTTTTTACCCAAGGTATTCTTGCAAATGAAGTAAATGTTTCTTTCCCTTAAATAATGATAATTGCGTCGGGAGGCAAATTAAAACGCAATACACAATTTCCCTTTACATTCAAATACACGTTCCCGCGACGTTAATAATGGCTTCACAATTTAATTGAGGAATAGCGGAGTAATTAAACCGAATTAAGTCAATAACAGTTTCACGGTTCAATTAATTGAAACCGACTGCGAGTTTCGCGGTATTTTTCGCTACTGCAGAATATTTCACGGAGATTTTATTTTGAACTCTCGAGTGTATTTGATACTACGTTAATTTTTATAATCGATAAAAAATCCATTAAGATTGGAGAAAACGGGGCTTATTTTTCCTAAGTGTTTAAAGCCTTAACAGTGGTAGAGTCCACTTTAACATCTTCGCACGAAAGGGTCGTTTCGCCAGGTGCAATACCACGACCACACAGAAGACAGGCGTAAAGTGAAAGCAATTTCGCGTTTCGTCTAGTGAGTGTGGTGCCGGAGGCCTAATTTTAGTCCCTTTCCCTTTCCACCCTTTTATTAAGATAAAAGGATGGGAAGGAAAAGTGGATTTGACGGTAGAGGAAACGCATAGGAAGGGGAAATGTCCTCGTTATGTGCGTCTCCTCCTCTGTCAGTTAAGGGTAGGCAACGCATCTGCAATTGCGGAAGTTTTCGGCAGCGGTCGTTTTCCATTTTAGTAAATTCAGGTGGCCGCTTGCTCGTTTGCCACGTCCACGTCAAAAAAAAACGTAGCGTTTCATATGTATTAGTTCTGATGATGTAGGAATTGCATATTAAAACATGAATCAATATAAGAGTGGAGAATACCTAATTGTAGACCTAGGAAGAGATCAGAGGAGGACAGAGATAACGTAAAGAGATTATTTACAAAATACTATAGACGAATGATTTCTTAATGTTTTAAAGTTTTTAAATATGTTTTTAGGAAATGGCATTGTCGCCGAAAACTGATGTTCGTAAGATGTGGCAAAAGATACCGTTTCCTTTAGATTTCAAGATATATCTATTTAACTATACAAATGCTGAGGAAGTACAAAAAGGAGCTATACCAATAGTAAAGGAAGTTGGGCCGTATTATTTTGAGTAATTAATTTATTTATTATCATTAATATTTATTTTATTTCATAGTAATATTGTAGCTATTTCAGTTCTGCTTTGACTACTAATCTTCATACTAATATTATAAATGCAAAAGTTTAGATGGATGGATGTTTGGTAGAGTTTGTAGCCTAAACTGCTGAACGGATCTCGGTAAAATTTGGCACAGATATAGAGGATAGTCTAAATAACACAGGATAACTTTTGTTTTTATTCTACGAGGACTGAATCGCGGACATAAGCTAGTACTATTTAAGGACACCGTATTTTTGTATAAAAAATATATTCCAGTGACACGTTTCAAAACGTTCTTTGTAAATAATAACTAGTTGTATAGAAGTTAATAAAAACTTTGATACTGTCCAGTCATTATTTGTCCAAGACATTGATTATAGTACTGTCGATAATTTTTTTAAATTACACTTCGTGAACAAACATATGTTTTTAACTTTTTGATTCTTACTTCTTGTTAGTGTTCAATTTTAATTTTCAAACTAATTTTAACTGTTTTGGTAGAGTTTTCGGTTGAGGTAGTTTCCGTCCTTACGTATTTTATACATGCCTTTTGAAATGTTTTTTAAAAAGACTTTGAATTCGCAATTATATTAAATAATACATAGAACAGATTACTAATTATTACAATAGTAAGACATTTTTTGATGTTAGTGACTAAAAAATCTTATTAGCAATCTTGGTCTGATTTTTTTTATATTTGTCACTGTAACCAAGGCAATATGAAAATCGATAAATATTTTAACCATATATGACTGACATGAAGGTTTGGATGCATTTATTATTTACGACAATCGATAGAAAAATTGCCGTTACTTTAAATGCCAAACCTTGATTACTGTGAACTAAACAAAACATCACAAATACATACTTCGAGTTCTAAATTTTCACTTAACAAGCAATCGCTATATCAAAAAAAACAAATGCCTATCGGAGAACGTGATCATCAAAAAAATCCGCATTTATCGTCTTTAAATTACCATAAAATTACTGTGTGATGGTATAATTTTTTATACGATTTTTCCAAATTTGTAATCTGCCACTGGACATCCTGTATATGAGATTTTTTTCATCACGTAATAGAAAAAATATTAGATTGATTCATCGTAAAGTACTCCAACAAATAGGTATAAATTCTAAATCATCCTAAAGACGTGTTGGAACCTACCTAACCTGTTATTTTATTGAACAGAGAATGGAAGGAGAAAGTAGATGTCGAAGATCATGATGATAGTGACACAATAACGTACAAGAAACTGGATACTTTCTTCTTCAAGAAGGAACTTTGTGGACCAGGCCTGACGGGAGAAGAGTTGATTGTTTTACCTCATCCATTTATGATGGTTTGTTCTTACTACTACTATGTAAGAAAAATACTTAAATATTTCAAAGAAAAAACGAAAAAAGCCATCATACTAATATTATAAATGCAAAAGTTTAGATGGATGTAGACTAAACGGCTAAACGAATTTCATTGAAGTTTGATACAGACAGAGACAAGTCTGGAAGAACACATATGCTACTCACTTTTGTGTTTTTTTAATTCCAAGCGGACGAAGTCGCAGGTGAAAGCCTGTACTAAAATAAAGGTTTAATAGCAGTATATTTCAAATACTAGCATAAAAACTCTTTCACTCTCACCACACACACACACACACACACACACACACACACACACACACATATGTGTACATAAATGCCACATGCGTACATATATACGCACTCACTCACACTCACATACCCAAACACATGTATTTGATCACATATGTACCTAGACTAAGAGAAGGCACTGCCTCCTGTAATACAGGTCCCCACCTAGCTCAGGAGGCAGAGCCCATTGATTGTGTTTAACTGATCTTATCAATAAAGTGTTTTTTTTTTAATACTTAAAATATTCTAACTTATAACATCCGAAATTGCAATTTCTAATTTATCATTTTCTGTTTCAGGCTACGATAGGAGTGGTAATCCGAGATAAGCCAGGGATGCTCAACATGATTGGGAAAGCTTTTAATGGCATTTTCGACAATCCACCCGACATTTTCCTTAGGGCGAAAGCTTTAGATATATTGTTTAGAGGCCTTGTCATTAACTGCGCAAGAACGGAGTTTGCGCCTAAAGCTCTTTGTACAGCTTTAAAGAAGGAAGCAGCTAACACTCTTATTTTTGGACCAAATAATCAATATGTATTTTCTCTATTCGGCATGGTAAGATCTTAACACTTTTCTGCTAATAGAAGGCAAACAAGCCAGCGGCTCACCGATTCCAGTAGTACATAACCTCGCTGTTAAAAATTGCATATGGTAAATTGGAAGGAAGAACATTAACAGATTTATATCAATCGACTAGAAATAGCTATTTCTTTGATGGTAATTTTAAAAGACGTTGCTTTAAGATATAGAGGTTATTTAAAAATGATACAACAATCATCCTGAATTTTCTACCTTATTTCTACCTCGTAAATTAGAAGAAATGCAAACCTTTGAGATTTCAATCAATCTATTTTCAAGCAATTGTATATTCTAGCGTAATGGCACAGCTGACAGTCATGTTGTGACAGTCATGAGAGGTATGAACAACGTGATGGACGTCGGCAAAGTGATAGCGATCGACGGCAAACCCAAGATGGAAATGTTCAGAGATAAATGCAACGAATTCGAGGGTACCGACGGGACTGTTTTCCCTCCATTTTTAACGCAGTCTGATCGTCTTGAATCGTTCTCTGGTGATTTATGCAGGTATGGTTATTAACATTTTGCTTTAATTATTCCTAAGATGCACGTTAATAGTATTTTCATTTCTAGATCTAAAATTAGGTAATTTACTCTACTCCGAACTTTACCTCATCAGATTTGATATCTAAACACTCAACTGTTTCGTCGACACTTTTATATACTTACACAATTTCGTTGTCTAACAGATCTTTTAAACCGTGGTTCCAAAAACCATCTTCGTACAGTGGAATCAAAACCAATCGATACATCGCTAACATTGGAGATTATTCAAATGATCCTGAACTGCAATGCTACTGTGATACTCCCGATACTTGCCCGGCTAAAGGACTTATGGATCTGATGAAATGTATGGGAGCACCGATGTACGTCTCACTGCCACATTTTTTAGACTGCGACCCTAAGATTAGGGAAGCTGTGAAAGGACTGAACCCTGATGTGAATGAACACGAGATATCAGTTGATTTTGAACCGGTGCGTTTTGAGTGTTTTAATTATTTTAACTTTCGTGTAACAGTATTTCAATGTAAAAAAGGGTCCTTTAAGAAGTGAGCCTACAATTTCCTCCAAGGATGGCAACGCATCTGTAATACCTCTGGTGTTGCGGATGTCAATGGGCGTCGTAGACCATCTCTGTGTTCCCGCCGCTCGTTTGCCCTCTTCTCTTATAAAAAAAGTCTCTGTCTGTCTGTATCTGGACCTATTTCTAATATTATGGAATTTTCTAGATCTGTATTGTATTTAATTTCAGATCACAGGCACACCCCTGGTCGCGAGACAACGTGTCCAGTTTAACTTAAAGTTAGTTAAAACGGAAAAAATTGAACTGTGCAAGGATTTACCTGACACTATTGTGCCTTTGTTCTGGATCGAGGAGGTAATTATCATTGTTATTAGAGAGATATCTTAACTGAATGTATATACGAAAAGAAGAAAGGCCTAATTTTTTTTTTGTAAAATATTAGTATATTTTTGTTAATTTACTAATATTTCCTTTAACCATTCCAACTAAGCTTTAGGCTTGTGCTGGGATATAGTTCACGACAATAGTCGAATGGCGGGATTCGAACCCTTGACCGCAAGATCGATAGTCCCCAAACCATTAGGCTATTGGCGCTTATTAATTAAATTTAATTAAATCAATACAATTATTTAGGACAAAAATGTACAAGATTTGTTTGTAGATTAGAACAAAAATCCAAACAATTAATGATATTAAAATAGTTCAATTTAAAAAGCAAAGAAAACATCTATTTCCATACAGAAAAAACACTCAAAGCAAGAACTTACAACAAATATTTAAGTATGACAAAAGTGAACGATTTTATGCCAGGAACTAAACTAACGTAGTTTCCACTTGATTTCCTTGTAATAGATATATAACAATAAATATGTAATAGTAACTATTTGAGTGTAATTTCAGGGTCTAGCACTAAACAAGACATTTACAAACATGCTGAAGCATCAATTGTTTATACCAAAGCGTGTGGTCGGTGTGCTGCGATGGTTACTGGTGTCTTTCGGTCTACTCACTTCTATGGCCTGTATACTCTTTCATTATAAAGGTAATATTATCTAGTAAGAGCGCCTTTTAAACTATCGCACAGATGTTTAGTCGCGCTCTGATTCCTGTAAGCTTACACAAATACAAATACAAACGTTTTTTGGTAAGCGAATTACAAGTCATAATGTTTGAAATAAAAAGGAAAAGTTCTTCGACACTATAGCCATGACTTAAGGTTACTTTTAAATGACGCGAAGCTGGTAGCCGCTGTATTGTGGTCCGGCAGACGGTTGTAGACGGCGGGCCCCA